ATGTTGTTACTATTAAAAAAAGGTGATATATTTTAAAGGCCAACTTTATATAGAACAAATAAGGAGAATAGCCCATATTCTGAGGAGGGAAAAATTCTGAAAAAAATGTCATGTCCTGAACCTGAAAAGAAGAGGTAGGGGTGCGTGTGTTGTGTCTTTATGTGTATGTGTGTATGTAATGCTTGGCTGTCATGTGATTTTGAGGGACAAAATTGATATGTGTAGGGCTGGGCACTGTGGTGCATGCCTATAATCCCAGCAACTTGGGAGCTAAGGCAGGAGTACCACAAGTTGCAGACCAGCCTAAGCAATTTAGCAAGACCCTGTCTCAAAAAAACAAAAGAAACCCTATAAGTGTATGTATGTATTTTTATCTTACTCTACTCTATGAAGGATTAAGACTTAAGAAACTTTAGTTACATATTTAATAACTGCAAAGATGTTTTCATCAGAGATGGATGAAAAGTTAGAAGGAGGCTAGAGAAAAAAAAACAGCAAAAATTTAGGGCACTAAATTTTAGTTATTATGGAAATGTAATGATTTTTAGAGAGTATAGAACTTGCTGGATGGGCACCAGTTTCATTCTTAGGTATTTATTTAAGCAGTATCCTAGACATAAATACAAATCACATTCATAAGATGAAAATAAATGATGCTCAGGAAAAGCTCATATGTACTTGTTTTCTTTTATTGTTTTGTGATACTTGRGATGGAACCCAAAGGTACTGTACCAGTGAGCTGTATATCCCCAGCCCTTTTTATTTTTAATTTATTTTTGGTACCTGGGATTGAACTCAGAGGCACTTAACCACTGAGCCCATCTCCAACCCGTTTTTATATTTTATTTAGAAACGGGATTTCTCTAAGTTGCTTAGGGCCTTGCTAGGTTGCTGAGGCCAGCTTTGAATTTGTGATCCTCCTGCCTTGGCCTCTCAAACCTCTGGGATTATAAGCCTGTGCCACGGAACCCAGGGCCTATTATTTTTTGTTTTGAGACAATCTGGATCAGTTGGCCAGGCTGGCCTGGAATGTAGCTGGGATTATAGGTGTGCACATTGCACCCAGCCCCAATAAGAAATTTTAGTGAATCATCATATTGTAGGTTTATGTGTTGATATTTTTCGTTGTTTTACATACATTGTTGAAATTTTCTTTTTAAAGTAGATTACTGTATGAAGAAAATTAAATACATTTCTAAAAATGTTTCTAGAGAAAGATAGACATGGGCAGAAGTGGAAGGAGGAGCTTTGCCTTCTTGGGGTTGGTAGTGGTCTAATGTATGGTTCCAGGAGACAAGTAAAACAGTCCTTCTTTTTCTGAGGCTTATGTTCCCAGTTGTCAAGAAGTGTATGTTTTTGTCTTTGTTAGATCAACAATGAAAAGATTCCTGAAATTGTTTTTATTACTCTATATTTAACATCTAGTATGTGTTCCCCTCACCAACCCCAATAGATAGATCCCAGGGCCTCCCTCATGCTAGAGCTAGGTTTATTTTTACTTATTTTATGCATATTCTTACTTGATATAGATGTTCTACGGGTATGTATACCTATCCACTGCGACTGGCTACCTATTCTCATTTCTAATGTTAGATTTAGATGGAATAGGGCTGGAGATATAGCTCAGTTGGTTGAGTGCTTGCCTCTAGGTATATGTTATTTCTTGAATCACAAGGTCCTGGGTTCAATCTCCACCAAAAAAAAAAAAAAATTAAATAAATGGAAGAAATGAGACTTCTCTACTAGTACAACAATGGTTACTGTTTCTCCTTAGGCCACTCAAAGTATCTAGCAACCATCTTTATTGGAGCCACAATTATCTTTTAAGCTTCATTTTTTTKGGGGGGGGTTATTTTTACTTATTTTATGCATGTTCTTACTTGATATAGATGTTCTACAGTATGTATACTTACATATTCATAAAATAGGTATGTGTTTTATAATTTTTTTGAATCCGAACAAATGGGTATGGTCATATTCTTACAATACCAAGGCTGGGTGATATTACTACATTTTAAAGGGAGAAAATTTCTAACTTGCATATGATTTATTTTCCCATCAAAATATTAAAGTGTGGAGACTAATGTAGATATCAGTAATTTTTTCAAATTGTGCTAATTTTGTGTGAATTTATAAATGTGAATTTGTATTCTGCTATTATAGCAAGATAGTTGAAGTAGAGAGGAGCTTTCTGAACATTGGGTTTTTTTTTGTGTGTGTGTGTGTGTGTGTGTGTGTGTATGTTTGAGACAATGAAACGTTTGAAGATTTGGGAAAATGGGAAAGATAAAAAGGAATCTTAATTCCACAAAGAATGTGTATTCATGTTTTGTTGATGATCCAAACTGAACTAGTAAGGAATAGAACCCCTCAGAATGGAGAAAAATATAGAAAAAACATGTTATTTGTACAAAACAGACTTATTGCTTGAAGCTAATGAAACTTAAATTTGACTTGAAAGCTTTCTTTGCTTGAATCAAATCTCTCCTGGATAGAATGAACTTTACATTTTCATTTCTGCCCTTTATGTTCACATCATTAATAAAAGTGCTGGTAATTCCAGCATGATCATGAAAACTATAGTTTATTTGCACAAGAGAATGCAGTTATGCTAGGATTTGAGGTAAGTATACTTTGTAACAATTAAATTCTTCAACAGTAACATAATGTGCACTTAAAAATTCAATGATTTAATGTGTAGTACCCTGCCACAACAAAGCAAAATAAAACAAAGGGACACAAGGCAACTGGAGGCAATGGATATGTTTATTATTTTGATTGTGGTGTTGATGGAAACAAAAGTGTGTGCATATTTCTGAACTCACCAAATTTTATATATTGTCTCCCTCCCCCTTTTGGGCATACCATTTATACCCTAGTAAATCTGGAAAGAGTAAAACTTCAAAAAATAAGCATATAAATATTTTATCTGAAATTATTAGTATGTGTTGTGAGGAGAGCGTGGTCAGGCAGTTTTGAGGGCTACCTTTGTGGTTTGTTTTGAAGAATTCTGAGAACTGTTGGTGATTAATGAAAATATATAGTAACCAAGATGCCAGTATGAGTTTAGTTATGTATAAGTTAATATGTATACTTTAATGATAGTAGCATAAGTTAGGAAAATAAAACTTTTCTTCCATTTTCAGAAAATCCTTGGTGCTTGTTCATGTGGATCCCACATGAATTTGTGAATTAGCATCACAGACTTTCATAGCTAGGCAGTTTCTTTTAGAGGAGTACAAGGCAGTGATCTGACATGAATTGATTATTGCCAAAGACAATAAATCTTATGTTTATTCAGGAAATGTTACTATAGTCTTTATGAATGTTGAAACATCATATAAAGAGAACAGAAAATGTTGATTAGAACACATACCACATTCAGCCCAATGGGTAGTTAGTAACAAGCAGTATGGGCTTCCTAGCATTATTTGATCTGTGTTAATATTAGAAGATAAAAGATACTAATCAGTCACATTGTTGGCTAGAACCTAGTGACTGTTGGTAAATTTGTCATGCGACTTACCTGTGTAATATTGTCAGATTTTTTTTTTTTTAATCTTTTTTGGCGCCAGGGATTGAACTCAGGGGCCACATTCCCAGCCCTATTTTGTATTTTATTTAAAGACAGGGTCCCACTGACTTGCTTTAGCTTCTCACTTTTGTGGAAGCTGACTTTGAACTTGAAATTCTCCTGAGCTGCTGGGATTACAGATGTGCACCTACTGTACCTGGCCCCAGTYCTTTTTTGTCTTTTATTTAGACAGGGTCTTGCTGAGTTGCTTAGGTCCTTGCTGAATTGCTGAGGTTGACTTTGAACTTGTAATCCTCCTGGCTCAGCCTCCTGAGCCTCTATTCTTTTTCCAAAAATCAGTAATAAGGGCTGGGGCTGTAGCTCAGCAGCAGAGTGCTTGCCTAGCATGTGTGAGGCTGGGTTAGATCCTCAGCACTGCATAAAAATAAACAAATAAAAAAAAGGCATTCTGTCCATCTACAGCTACAATTTTTTTTTTAAAGAGAGAGTGAGAGAGGAGAGAGAGAGAGAGAGAGAGAGAGAGAGAGAGAGAGAATTTTTAATATTTATTTTCTAGTTATTGGCGGACACAACATCTTTGTTGGTATGTGGTGCTGAGGATCGAACCCAGGCCGCACGCATGCCAGGCGAGCGCGCTACCGCTTGAGCCACATCCCCAGCCCCTCTACAGCTACAATTTTTAAAAAATAAATTAGTAGTAAGCTTAGTATGAATATGGTTTTCTCCTCACAAGTTGTACTTGTTTGTACAGTTTGCTGTGCTATGTGTGAGCTTTATGTTATGTTCCATTTGGGGAGTCTTATGTTGTCAAAATATTTCTTGTTCAAAGTTTTATCAGTAATTTAGAAATAACAATGTAAAGGATTTTGTCTCCTTTTTAGTGAGTAGATTCTTTCAAAAGTTTACTGTATTCTGTATCACATTTTGTCTAATAATATATTTGGTCTGAATTCTTATTTATTTAGATACTTAGGATGTGACTATGTTAAACTCCTTGGGAGACCAGGAGAAATAATTTTTCTTTCTTTCTTTTTTTTCCTCCTAATACCAGGGATGGAACCCAAAGCCTGCTATATGCTAGGCAAGTGCTCTAGCATTGGGCTGCATCCCCAAACCTTTTTTTATTTTGAGACAGTTTGGTTAAGTTTCCTAGGCTGGCCTTGAACTTGCCATCTTCCTTTCTGAACCTGTAACTAGGATTACAGGCTTGAGCCACTGGGTCCTGCTGAAAAGTAATTTTTTTTTGGTCACTTACTTTTGAGTTACCTCTTGTTACACCAAACAATGTCTTTTGAACAAAACAAAAAAACAAACAAACAAAAAAAAAAAACAAAAAAAATGGAGTTGTGGCAGGGAGCAAACTATGTTTAGAAATATATTTTGCTAAAGTAGTTTTTCTAGTCATGTTGCTTGGTTTCAAATTGTAGAATTTTTTTGCAATAATTTTATCCAATTCCATTTTTAGTCCAGTTACAACACAGGGATCACAACAAACACAGCCGCCACAGAAGCACTATGGCATTACTTCTCCTATCAGCTTAGCAGCCCCCAAGGAGACTGACTGCATACTTACACAGAAACTAATCGAGACTTTGAAACCCTTTGGGGTTTTTGAAGAGGAAGAGGAGCTGCAGCGCAGGTATGAGTGTGCACCTCACACATATTTTAATTTGTAATGTTTTAGTGTTGAAATTAATTTGAGGCCTTCACTACTTAGTTAATCAGGGTTATCTATATATTTGTTTCAAATAAAAGTGATACTTAGGAGAGACACCTTCTAATTATTTCTACATAGAGCTCTGTTCTTAGTTTTGATTTTTGTGCTTTTGGTTTTTATAGTACAAAATTTATCAGAAGAAATGTTTTACCCAGTGTAACAGTGCCTATAGCTAACTAGTATATGTTTCTGATCACTTAAAAACATAAAACTTAGGAAACCACTTATTTAAAATGTCTCTTCATTTAATCAGTAGTGACGTAGAATCACAAACAGCTTGATACTTGACAATTGTTTTATTCACAGGATTTTAATTTTGGGAAAATTAAATAACTTGGTGAAAGAGTGGATACGAGAAATCAGTGAAAGCAAGGTAAGATTCTTCTTTTGCATATAAAGAAATTTTGTTCTATATACCTAACTGAACATAGCAGTTCAGTTGTCTTATATCACTTGGTTTTGCTTGAGAATTTAAAGTTTAATGTAGAGATCATTTTAGACTATTGACCGAAGTTCACATATTTTGTTTCTGGTTATTTTGAAGAAATATTGAACAAGAAAAGCAAGAAAAATTGAACCTCTGGGGGTGGGGGACAACTAGGGATTGAAACAAGGGATGCTTTACCACAGAAGTACATCCCTAGCCCTTGTTATTTTGAGATAGGGTCTTGCTAAGTTGTTGACGCTGGCCTTGAACTTTTAAAAAAGATTTTTTTTTTTTTAATTTAGCGAGTCAATGGACCTTTATTTTATTCACTTGTTTACATGTGGTGCTGAGAATCAGACCCAGTGCTTCACACATGTGAGGGAAGTGCTCTACTACTGAGTCCGGGCCCCACCCCTGGCCCTTTCCTTGAGCATTTGATCCTCCTGCCTTAACCTCACAAGTCACTGGTATTAGAGAGATGTGCCTCTGTGCCTGGCTCTAAGTACTCTCTGATTATAACTTTTCAAAGCTGAACTCAGTAATTTATACTCTTTAGAGATGTTTACTGTTTAGAGATGTTTCCCTGAAGTGGTTTAAAAAAGTTTACAATATTAGCCTGTGTTAGTTCCTGGATTTGGTCCCCAGCAAAAAACACATACTTTTTAAATTTTTTTGTAGTGCTAGAGATTGAACCCAGGGCCTCTTGCATGCTAGGGAAATATTATACTTCTGATCTGCATCCCCAGCCCAAATGCTTACTATATTTGWGAATATATGTTGTCTCTCACAGAATCCTACAACAATGAAGTGGTTTTTTTGTACTAATATTCTCTGAGTTTCTAATGCTTTTATTATGAATAGTTATACAACTGAGGAATCCTTGGTTAGGCTTCTGGTTAAAAGCAAAGGTATTTTTAGAGCTGCGTGTGGAATTCATTTGATTCATTTAAAAAATATACCCCAAAGTGATAATTTTCCCAGAGTAGTAGAAAATGCATATTTAAGCTTTAAATACAGCTGAAAACTTGATATTAGGATGGAGAGTGTTAACTTAGAAGAAAATTCAGTATTTTGGCTTTAGTTGAATTTATATTTTCTTAAAACAATGGATATAATAGTTAAAAACAATTTAACACGTTAGTAATTTGAGTGTTCTAAATTATGTTCTTTATCCGTTTCTCATTAATAGAGTTTCTGGTAGAAAATGAGAGTTTTGGAAAGGCAGTTTTTTGAGCTGAGGAACAGCTGGTTTAAACGTATGTGTGTGTGTCTCTGTGTTTGGAGCTCGAGTAAACCTGGAACTTGAGGTGTTTTTTTTAATAGATTTATTTATTGATTGATTGATTGATTGATTATTCTGAGGATCAAACGCAGGGCCTCATCCGTGCTAGGTGAGCGCTCCACCGCTGAGCCACAACCCCAGCCCCTTGAGGTTTTTTTGAAAATTGTGAAACCAGAGTATTGTTTCCGTTACTAGTGATTCTATTGTTTTTGTTTCCAGAAGAGGGTCTTTTTTTTTTTAATCCAGGGGCACTTAACCACTGAGCCACATCCCCAGCCCCCCTTTTTACTTTAAGACTGCATCTTGCTAAGTTGCTGAGGCTGGCTTTGAACTTATGATCCTCCTGCCTCAGCCTCCTGAGCTACATCCMMAATCCTTTCCATTTTTATGGTTTGAGATTCCATTTCTCTTTTGGTAAGGCTGGTCTCAAACTGGGATCCTCTTGCCTCAGCTTCTCCAGTATTCTCTGGGATTACAGGTGTGTGTTACCCTGCACAGTGATTTTTACTTAGATGGCTACTTTGTTTGCCATCTAATACTTCTAAGACTTAGTTTAAAAAAAAAAAAAAGATTTTGCAGTTGAAGATTGTATTAGATATTAGTAAAAATACCTTTGCTTTAACTAGAAGCCTAACCATGGATTCCTCAGTTGTATAACTATCATAATGAAAGTATTAGAAACTCAGAGAATATTAGTACAAAAAAACTAACAGTGATATTCAGTTTGAATGTCTAATACTGGAAATCTTAAAAAAGGCTTAATTCTATGACCTGAATTATCTTGTTACAATGATCATAATAGCTATAAACATACTAATGTCTAGAAGTGTAGCCATAGGTAGTTTCTAATCCACAGGTGACCATTTAAATAAAAATTAACCAAAATTAGGCATTCATGTTCTTAATCACACTATCTACATTTATGTACTCAATAGTAGCTACTGTATCGGTTGGTGCAAGAGTAGAATGTTATGTCCTTGCCAAAAGTTGTTTTGGAGAGGTGTTTGTCCAGAAGATTTGTGTCTTTACTGGAGAAGTTCAAAGTTCAGTATTCTAAGATTGTTTCTCTCTAAATTCTTTGTAGGCCTATTTCTACACACATCTTGCTGGCTTGTTTTATTTTAAAATTTGATTTTTTTTAACTTAATTTTTTTTGGGGGGGTACCAGGTGTTTAACTACCAAGCCACATCCCCAGCCCATTTTATTTTTTATTTAGAGACAGGTTTGCTTAGGGCCTCACTAAATTGATAAGTTTGACTTCAAGTTGCTGCAATTACAATTTTAATTTCTTTTTTCTAAATCAGTCAATCTACCCACCTACCTTTTTTTTTTTTAATTTTGAGACCACGTCTTCAGACAGGGTTGGTGAAACTGGCCTTGAACTTTTGATCCTCTTATTTTAGCCTCCCAAGTCACTTGAGATTACAGATGTGATGCCCAATTTGTGGCTTATTTTAAATAATCAGGCCAGCATTACAATTAAGTTTTCTCATTATCTAAGTACAGCAAAACAAAGAGTTTCTTTACTTCTTAAAAGCATTAACAGTTGCTGGATATGGTGGCACCAGCCTGTAATCCCAGAGACTTGAGATCTGAGGGAGGAGGATGGCAAGTTCAAGGCCAGCCTGGGAAAATTAACAAAACCCTGTCTCAAACTAAAAATGGCTGGGATGTAGCATGTAGCTCTGTGGTAGCATGCCTTGGGTTCAATCCCTAGTACTAACCCAACCTGCCCACCCCCAAAAAATCAATTCACATATAACTTGTCTGTTTTCTAACATGATAGTTACAAATGTCCTTGAAAAACAAAGAATTCCTTGAATCTTTTTAATTTGGTGGGGGGTAGTTATAGATGGACCGAATGCCTTTATTTATTTTTATCTGGTGCTGAGGATTGAACCCAGTGCCTCATAAATACTAGGCAAGTGTTCTGCAACTGAGCTCCAGCCCCAGCCTATGAATCTTTTTATTTTAATGACCTTTATGGTTTTATTTTCAGTTCTAGGATTGTATAATGCTTCATTCTATAAAATAAATGTTCCTGAACCATTAGAATTCCCCTTTAGAAAGTTTTTTGAATGTAAGTAACACTAGATCTATGTTATTTATATTTTTTGAGAGGTGAGGGAGTCATTTCCTACTTTCTTATTCTGAATAGAGACCTTATAACCAAGGAATTAAAAATTAAGAAGCTAGGCATGGTGGCACACGCCTGTAATCCCAAGGGCTTGAGAGGCTGAGGCAGGAAGATCTTGAGTTTAGAGCTAGCCTCATGGACTTAGTAAGAGGCCCTAAGCAACTCAGTAGGACCCTTTATCTAAATAAAATATAAAAAGGGCTGGGGATGTGGCTCAGTAGTTAAGTGCCCCTGGGTTCAATCCTAGGTACCACCAAAATAATAATAGTAATAATAATAATAATAAATAAAATAAAAAGAAATACTGATTGATTTAGCACTTATTAAAAGAAAATCCTCCCTCCCCAGTAGTAGTGGTTGAACCCAGCAGTGTTTTATAACTAAACATCACCCCTACTTCTGAACTATATCCCCAGACCACTATTGGAAATCATAATTTTTTAAAATTCCTAAACCTACTGTTTAGCAATATTGCCTTTTAAGTCACTTTTAAAATGGTAAAATTATACTCTAATGTTCTATTAGATTTTTGGTTTAGTCATTGAATATAATAATCTTTCCTTTGAACAATTAGAATATGTTTTTATACCCTAATATTACTGAATTATTTTATATAGAATCTTTGTCATGAAATAAAAACCCTGATTCTAACATTGCTCCTGTGGGACCACATGATCTCCTCTATTAGTGTTTTTTAGAAACGTGGCAAAATTCAAAAATAGTATGGGTCTTTACCAAAGAACACTTTTCTGTTCAAAGCTGGTTGAATCCCAAATCAGATTTATCTGTGAAGGGCTGGCTGACTTTTTTTTTTTTTTTTTTGTTTTTAAAGATAGAGGATAGGAAAGATAGCAGAATACAACAGTCACTAGTATGGCAATATGTAAAAACGTGGATGTGTAACCGATGTGATTCTGCAATCTGTATATGGGGTAAAAATGGGAGTTCATAACCCACTTGAATCAAATGTATGAAATATGATATGTCAAGAGCTTTGTAATGTTTTGAACAACCAATTTTTAAAAAAAGAAACTCAAAAAAAAGAACTTACAAAAAAGTGTGTTTGACTACTCTATACATTTGCACTTAATCTTTTTTTTAATATTTATTTTTTAGTTTTAGGTGGACACAATATCTTTATATTTATGTAGTGCTGAGGATTGAATCCAGTGCCTCATGCATGCTAGGCAAGCACCTACCACTGAGCCACAACCCCAGCCCTGCTAATGAGTTTTTGGTTTTGCTTTTGATACAGAGTCCTCCGCTGTTACTCAAAGCTGACCTTATACTTCCAGGCTCAAATGAGCTTCCTGCTTAAGCCTCCTGGGTAGCAGGGATTTTAGGCATGCACTACCACACTTTTTTAAAAAATTATATTTAAAATAGTTTCCCTTGTATTTCATTGATTACCATTTTTTGTTTCAACAGAATCTTCCACAATCTGTAATTGAAAATGTTGGAGGAAAAATTTTTACGTTTGGATCTTACAGATTAGGAGTACATACAAAAGGTAAAAAAAAATAGTAGTTGTTTTTTTATTTAAAGAATGCATTTTTTATTTCTTAAAATTTATGATACAGAAATTTTATTTCTTAAAATTTGTGTCAGTTACTTGTGAATCTTGTAAGCTTAGGTTTTCATGGAAGAAAGGGTCTTAAAGGAGTCTAAAGACTAAAAATGTAAAATAATACCTTCATATCTGCTCTAATGTAGTACTAAAATTAAGTAAAATTAAAATACAGGTCCAGTTGAAATTAGCTGTTTTATATGTTGAATAGCTACATAGAGCCAATGGCTAGTACTCCATTAGAAAGTGCTGACAGGCTATTTTTCCACAGAGGAATTTTATTTTTTTATTTTTTGTACCGGAGGTTGACTTTCAACCAGGGTACTTTCCCACTGATCTACATCCCTCGTTCTTTTTATTCTTTATTTTGAGGCAGGTTCTCACGAGTTGAGGCTGGCTTTGAACTTGTGATCCTTTAGCTTCGGCCTTCTGAGAGGCTGGGATTACAGTGTGAACCACTGCACCAGTGCTGTTTGTCTATTAGATAGATGTATGACCAATATTGCTATTATTTTTTTCTATAGTATGTCACTCCAAATATTGTTATTATTTTTTCCTATAGTAAAAACACTCCAAATAGTTTATCATTAAACATTAAACAAACTGATATGTATCCATGGATTTTTTTTTTTTTTTTTTTAAACTGGGGATTGAACCCAGGGTGCTTTTTCACTGAGCTATATCCCAGCCCTTTTAAATTTTTATTTTGAGATAGTGTCTTGCTAAGTTGCTCAGGCTGGTCTTGAACTTGCAGTCTTCTTGCCTCAGCCTTTTATGTTGCTGGGATTACAGGCATGCACTACTGTGCCTGGCGTATCTATATCTTTTTTTTCTAGTTGTAGATGGACACAATACTTTTATTTATTTTTATGTGGTGGTGAAGCTAGAACTCAGTGTCTCATGTGTGCTGGGCAGGTGTTCTACTACTGAGCCACAACCCCAGCATGTATCCATATCTATTGATAATTACTGAATATTTTCTTATTTATTTTCTCTGTGCAATACACAATAAAAATGTCACCATGGCTAAGGACATTTATTGAATTCTGTTTACCAGGCACTGAATTAAGTGCTTAATATTCATTATCTTATTTATTCCTCACAGTACTTTTATTTTCGTATTATAGGTAGTCTGAGACTTAAATAGGCAAAAGAACTTGAGCAGTTTTTCTTAGCTATGTACTGGTAGAACCAATAAAATAGAGCTCACACAGTCTGGGATATATCCCCATTAATATCGGACCTCTGTTTTAAGAGTATCCGCCAGTTCTCTGTATAGTGGTATTCTCTTTTCCAATTTTCCACAGTAACAATAGATTTGTTTCTGATGTGCCCTGTGTACTATATACCGCTTTCCTCCTTTGTGAATGAGCTAAATAGCCTCTAGAGAGTGCCTTAACATCTCATCTTTTAGAAAAATTGCTGTGTTGACCTACTTCTACCTTGCCCTCTCTCTTTTATGACTCAGATTATTGATTTGTTATCCTCCTTTTTCATGTGGGAGCCAGTAGACACCTATCATAGAGTGTTTAGAGAGTCACTGTTTAACTAATGAACATGGTTGGACTCATGACATCAAGGCATTGGATTTTGTATTTCAGTAATTCCCTCTCTTTATCCTGAAAGTTCTGTCTCCGTTTCCTGGTTTATTTGGGCCCACTGTATATATTACAGCATGCTTTAGGAACAACAAAACAAACAAATTAGAACTCATTTTTTCTCTAGTGACTGATGTTTCTTTTAAAATTATTTTAGATGTTGATGGACCTTCATTTTATTCATTTATTTATATGTAGTGCTGAGATTCGAACTCAGTGCCTCACACATGATAGGCAAGTGCTCTACTACTGAGCCCCAAGCCCAGTCTCGACTGATAATTTTTAATAAGGAGTGATTTTTTTTTTAAGAGCTTGCCAGTGTAATGTTAAACAGTTACTGTCCATCAAATACTGCCTCAAAAAGGTGGAAAATAATTTTCTTGTAGTGCTAATTAGTGGTTGATGGGATTTTTTTTTTTAGGTGCCGACATTGATGCGTTGTGTGTTGCACCAAGACACGTTGATCGAAGTGACTTTTTCACCTCGTTCTATGATAAATTGAAATTACAAGAAGAAGTTAAAGATTTAAGAGTATGTAAATGTTTGGGGTGAGAGGAAGGAGTTATAAAATTTTATTTAGTCATTTGAGTGAATTTTATGGTAGAGTCATCATGTATTGAGCTGTTACAATTTACCATGCTATTTGAAGCACTGAAAATGTGTTTGCATTTTATTCTTTACAGTATGCTAAAGTCATATATATATAAGATGTATAAGATATCTTAATCATTAGAAAATAGAGGCAAGCAAAATAAATATTAGATAATCAGACTACAACCACCCATCTGATGAAATAGCAGAAATCAAGGATTTAAACCCTGGAGCCTAGAGAGTCTTAAAGCTAGTTGCTGAGAACTTACTTTGTGCCAGGTGTCATGCTAAATTACGTTTAAGCAATTTCAATTAAATTGAAAGAATTGTTTAAGACAGTTACGTTTGCAATTTCATGTAAATTTTCACATTTATTTAAAAATACTAAAGTGCAGTTTTAGAGACTAACTTGTTTTTTGTTTTTTTTTTTTTTTTTTCCTTACAGGCTGTTGAAGAGGCGTTTGTACCAGTTATCAAACTCTGTTTTGATGGGATAGAGGTAAGGTGTTATGCAAATGGACAGTTCTTGCTATGTGGTGTTATTGAACTTGACAGTGTAGGTTAAAAAGTTGACATGGTTATTATTTTACTTTCTGCAGTACTGGGAATTATCTCAGGCAGTCTACCACTGAGCTACATGCCCAACCCTTTTTTAATTTTTAAATTTTGGACAGGGTTTCACTTAAGTTTCTGAACCTATCCTGAAACTTTTGATCCTCTTGCCTCAGTCTCCCAAGAAGCTGGTATTAAGGTGTGTACTGCCATGCCTCATACGTGAATTGGTTGAAGATTAATGCCAAGTTTTTTGTTTGTTTTTTAATGGAAGTGACAGCTGGCCATAGTGGCTCACAGTTGTAATCCTAGCAGCTTGGGGAAGCCAGGGCAGGAGGATTGCAGACTTTAAGCCCACCTCAGCAACTTAGTGAGGCTCTAAGCAAACTAGTAAGACCCTGTCTCAAAAAATAAAAAGGGCTGGCGATGTTGCTCAGTGGTTAAATACCCTTGTTCACTCCCTAGCGCACGCTTACACACACACACACGCGTGACTCGCATGTTTAGATTATGTATCTGTCTGTCTATGGTACCAGGGATTTAACCCAGCCCCGCCCCCTCCTCCTCTTTTGAGACAGGGTCTCATGTTGGTTTTTTTTTTTTTTTTTTGGTGGGTGGTGGGTGGGGGTGGGGGTGGTGCTGGTGCTGGGGCTTTGTGCATGGGAGATAGCACTCTACCAACTGAGCTATATCTCCAGGGATCACGTTAGATTGCTTAGGGCATCACTGAATTGCTGAGGCTGGCCTTGAATTTGCCATTCTCATGCCTCTTGGAATGACAGCCCTGCACACCTAACCATGCTGGCTAATTCTCATTTAAATGCCAAGTGAACCCAGGAGCTGAAACATGGGCAAATTTAAGACCAAGTGCTACTACAAAGCAATTTCTTGGTAGTTTTTCATATGCAAATTTTATGTTGTTTTGGTTTCATTGAGGCAATAAAACTGTGGATCTGCAAATGATACTTTGCCTTAACTTCCTTTAAATATTTAAAAAATGGGGAGAAAAGTAAATTGATATGTATGTGTTGAAATATTTTCTGGTAGGATTTAGAGCTCAAGTTGTCCAAGATTGTGTACATTTCTTGCTGTTTTTTGGCAAATATGGTGAAAATAATTGGAACACAGTAGGTGGTRAAACAAGTTTAGTTACTTATTATGGTACTTCTACTGTGCAAATGGTGCTAGAAAGTCTCTAATGTTAATGGTGAAGATAATAAAATTTTATAAGTGGAGTAATGATAACTTAATGGTTTTGCAAAAATGGTAGTTTTTAGAATTGCATAAGATTCCAACTCTTAATCTTTTAAAAAAGTCAAATTAAAGGCTTTTTTAAGCTCCAATGGTAGAATGTTTGTCTTGCATGTACAAGGCCCTGGGTTTAATCCCCAGCAACACACACAAATAAGTCAAAAGTCAAACTGTATTGGGTGAGATGGCACATGCCTGTAATTGCATCATCTTGGAAGCCTAAGGTTTTAGAATCACAAGTTCAATACCATCCTGAGCAATTTAGCCAGGCCCTGTCTTACATTTATTTAAACATAGGATATGCTGGGCCCTGGGTTCAATCTCTAGTAAACCAAAGAAAAAATTCCGTTGAATTTCTTAAGCTTTTCAGAATTAGATTTAACTCTGGGTCTTTTAAGCTGGGTTATCCCTAGTGTGCGTGCGCGCGTGTGTGTATGTGTTTACTCAAAACTAAAATTTGAAACTGGGTACAGTGACACGTAGTTTTAATCTCGGTTACTTGGGAGGCTGAGATAGGAGGATTGCAAGTTCCAGGCCAGCCAAAGATTTTCTCAAAATTTTTTTAAAAAGAACTGAAGATGTAGCTTCCCTGGGGATTAATCCCAAATACTAGTAAGTAAATAAGTAAGTAAATAAATAAATAAAATGAGAAGAAAACAGAATAATACTGTAATATGGACATGAATTCTTCCATATAAGGCAGTCTTTATTGGTAKGTATTTTTGAGATAAGTATAAAGATATTTGTTCTTTTTAGCACCTATTTATATCAGTGGTAACAGTTCATACAAATAAAGAATTTTAAATAACTTCATTATATGCATTTAGCAAGCCTAGTAACTCAGATTTATTAAGTATAATTAAATGATAATTAGGTATTTGTACAAGTTGCATTTCATATTACTATGATTTAACATCTAGTTAAAATACGTATGATATGCTGGGCATAGTCATGCATGTTTGTAATCGTAGCACCCCATGAGGCTGAGCTACTAGGATCTAAGTTCCCAGTATGGGAAACTTAGACCKTGTATCAAAATAAAAAGGACTGGGGATTTAACTGAGTAGTAGAATACCTCAGAGTTCAGTCCCCAGTGTTGCAAACCCCTCCAAAACCTGTAACATAAATTAATATATTAAACACTTCTGTGGGTATTACTGTTAGGTTTGTTAATTGATGTTGCTGGCATTAAGTAGAACTATTTTTTACAGAAATGCTTTAAAAGTAGTTTGACAGATATGGAATGTTAAGTTTTGTTTTTATTTTAGATTGATATTTTGTTTGCAAGATTAGCACTGCAGACTATTCCAGAAGATTTGGACCTACGAGATGACAGTCTGCTTAAAAATTTAGATATAAGATGCATAAGAAGTCTTAATGGTATGTCAAAAAGCCTTATCTCCTTTTGCTTAGTTGGAGTTCTTATCAAGTATTTAGTTGTTTTTAAACCTTTAATGAAACATTTATAGCCATTTTGTTAATTCATAGTGATTACAAATGTGCTTTACTTAATAGATTACAGAGAAGTGGCTGATAGTTTTACTCATTGGTTCCTTATTCTGTTATTTATTTTCTTGTAAGCTAAGAAATAGAGATTTGTACTTTTGCTAGAAATTTAGGTTTTACTATGTGACCCTAATTAATTTTGATCCTGATATCCTTTTGTAATGGTATCAGTTAAATTTTAAAAAATTCTTTTTTAAGAAATTTATACATAAGACTTTTGGACAACAACTGTTAGAAACTTAAGTGGACTGAATTCTTCTCAGTGTATCTAGACAGGGAAAAAAATTTAATTATGATAAATTGCAGTTTGAGATTAGGAAGATTAGTTCAATTTCTTTGGCTTACAGCATTGCTTGTGGTAAGAGATAACTGTTTTAGCTTTCCTGTTTTGTCTTTTTATTGAATTAAGCTTATTGGCTGTACCAAATGAAAGATTCTGCTCAATTTGTTATCAGTCTCAGAAAATTAAGAATTGGTGTTACCATTCAGCCTTTGATGATTATATGTTCTGTTTTTTTACTCCTATCAATCAGGTTGCAGGGTAACCGATGAAATTTTACACCTAGTACCAAACATTGACAACTTCAGGTTAACTCTGAGAGCTATCAAACTGTGGGCCAAACGTGAGTTCAGAATTTGTTGGCTAGCTTATTACAAACATTTAAACATGTGTTCAACACTAACTTCTTTTTTTGCTTTTCCCTTATCAACAGGCCACAACATCTATTCCAATATATTAGGTTTCCTCGGTGGTGTTTCCTGGGCTATGCTAGTAGCAAGAACTTGCCAGCTTTATCCAAATGCAATAGCATCAACTCTTGTACATAAATTTTTCTTGGTATTTTCTAAATGGTATGTGTTTAGATTATATTAAAATAAAATTGATTGTAGACACTGAAGTTTAGTCTTATTTCTATGACATTTCTGCAGCTGGTTTCAGATTCAAATTTTAGTTCGTGAAATAGTCATTTAGATAGCCTTGGATATCACAATGAATATTATGGCAAACTAGAACTCCATTTCTTTTCCCTAGCCAGGATAGTAAGTCATATTCTATTTGTACTTAATTTGCATAATCCTACCCTCCAAATAAACTGAATTGTAGCTGTAGCTTTTGCTAAAATCCAATTTATTAATAGGTTGGCATATATGTTAACATTTGGATAAAACTTCTACATACAACTTTTCACTTTTTGAATGTTTTTGAATACATACACCATTAATATTTGATTTTTTTCATTGAGCTGTTTATTTTTGGCAAAATATTAAAGATGCCAATTGTGTAAAAAAATGTAAAGAATAACGTTATGTATAATGAACAAATTAATGCTCATGTATTAATGAATTAGTGCTTGGACAAAAGCAGTATCTGGATCATTAATATTGGGGAGGTCCCCCCCCCCTCATTTCAAGATGTTCACATTTGTCAACAATGGTTTCATTTAAAGAAATTAAGATTATTGCCATTTCAGAATAGTTACTTTGGTCCCAAAGATGAGGGTTGTTGGGTTTTAATCAGATTTCCCTCAGATTTAAATCTTCCTAGTTTCTGCCAACTCATATCCATCCAACATTGCAAAAGACATTATTGTTTTCTAGTGATTTTGTAAAAGTCAGAGTTTTTGGAGACTTTATAATTTAGAATCAAGTCACACTTTCTAATACACATTCTGCTATTTTGGGATTTGATAGCACATTTTAATTACATATAATAAGATATGATAAGATTAAAGAATGTCAGAATGTCTTTTAAGGCTACACATATATAAATGTTTTCAAGAAGCTAACCTTGCTATTAAGGAAGGGGGCAGATGTTTTCCATTTTTTAGTTTCTACTGTAAGGACTGTGTGCTAATTTTACTAAAGATTGCGTCCTGGAAACACTGTGTTCACACCACAGACTTTTACTACATTTATTCATGTAACAACTTTTAAGTCATGAGATGGAGAAAATTTCTTAATTGTTATAATTATTCATACCCCATTGTCTATAATTGGAAGTAACTTTTTCTCATTTTTCTTTGGATGGAACTAATATGAAGACAGGATTTTTGTCTTTCAAAAAGTTTTATCCTGTTCAAGATTTAGGTGAAAGCATCAAATATCTTGCGGGTGCTTTTTAATTTACATGGTGCTTTATCAGTTCTTTTAAGAGAGAAGATATTTGACTTCAATTTGAAAAAGCTACCAAATGGTTTAAATGTATAGTTACAGAAGTATTTCAAGTAGTCTTTACCATCAACAGAAAGGAATGAAAGGTTGTATATACCAAAATGAATGAAGAAGGATCACATTCACAAATGCTGTATGTTTAACAAAATACGTTTAGATGATAATATCCAATAGTCTTATCAAGTGCTACAATCTTTTTAAACAGGGAATGGCCAAATCCAGTGCTATTGAAACAGCCTGAAGAATGCAATCTTAATTTGCCTGTATGGGACCCAAGGGTTAGTGTATTATTTTTTCCCCTACAAATTCACACTGTGCAATAACAAGTAAAAGTCAACTGCATAAACTTCAGGGAGACCTCCCAGCATTTTACGTATGAGTGGACATGTCCGTATTACACTTTCTTCTAGATAACCTCATCTATAATTGTCCTCTGATGTGAGAAGCATAATGATGTACCCTGTAAACTACATTTAATTGTACATAGTTTTTAATACAAATTTCACTAACATTTTAATTCATATAGAACTACTTTGTAAGCAAAGTTGTGTGGGCATTTGTGCTTAAAAAAAGAAAAAAAATAATAAAAGGATACTAAAAATCCCTGTTTTTTTTTTTTATTTGATCTAAATATTTTGTTTAAAATGGGGTTATTGTAGGGAAACTGCTTAATGTTTACATGTGGTAGAAAACTTCTAAGCAATATCATTCTAATAACAATGATGTAAATGTAAAAATTGTTTTAGATATTTCAGATTATAAAAACATGGTTGGGCTGAAGACAGCTTCCATTTTGTTTGGGGAGTTATGACATTACTGCTTATACATTTTAAATATTAATAACATGAACTTTATTGATAAGAAATTTAGGTTTTCAGTATGACTCTAGGTTTATGAAATTCTATTTTTTTGAATTAATTTGCTATCTTACTATTATACCAAAATTTTGTTTTTAATAAGTTCTGTTGAATTACATGAAGCTGTGTATTTCCAAACCTCGAGAAATTTAATTTTGGAGGATAGGAATTTACAGTTTCCTTTGTGGAAATATGTCACTTACCATTATGTAAATTAGCAGTTATTAAATTATTCCCATATCTTAAAATGATATCAACAAGGACATTGTAGTTTCACTATGTGTTAGGAAGCCTTAAACTCCTTATAAATTAAGGGTATATTCAAAATTTAAGTTTCCGTCTTGTTGAAAATTAGGTTTATACAGAATAACTTAGAGTATGACATTTCATGAAAGTGTAATTGCGTGCACATCCCCATTTCTATTGTTGAATAAAGAAAAACTAAATATCAATATATTCCCAGTTAGAACTTTCTTTGCTTAAGCAGGCACATAATTTCTAATATGTTTGCCCAAATAGTCATGCCCATATGATTGAAACAAACCATTAGTTTAGACCAAATCCCTTATTCTGTAAGGAATTCCTTAAAAACAGTGTCTCCTTTCATGGTTTTTCTTTCTCAACTCCAGCTGTGAATGAAATAAAATTTAATCATTGGTTCAGTTTAACAAGGGGTAAAAAGTCCAAGTATCTGTTGCATATGTACTTGAAGAAACTGATTGGCTGTTATTATATGTAGGTAAACCCCAGTGATAGGTACCATCTTATGCCTATAATTACACCAGCATACCCACAGCAGAACTCCACGTACAATGTGTCCGTTTCAACACGGATGGTCATGGTTGAGGAGTTTAAACAAGGTAAGTGTTTATCCTTATGCTCTCCTTTATACGTGAAGGATTTACGTATCATTGTAGAACCAGTAGTTCGCTATAAAATTTAATTGAAGAAATCATTCACTGAAGTGGATTTTGGTGTTCATATTTGTTTACCGTGTATATCAGAATGACTAACAAATTTAAATTTAGGTAATGTATTTTTTATTATGTTGGAAGATTAAGTAACACCTAAAACCAAATCTTTTGCTGCCCCTTTATAAGCTGACTTTGTTGCCTTGTGAAATTATGAATGATAAATTGCTTGTCCAGTGAGACTTGAGGGATGCTTAGGAAGCTGCTTACTCTTGGCAAATAGCTTTCAGCAGGATTGGGACCAAACTGCTCATTTTAGGGGAACTTAACCTTTTTGAACCCTAATTTTACTGTAAATTTAAAGTACTACACACTGGCCTTTGAGAGAAGTAGCTAAAATGGGATTGTTTGGTTGACTGGAAGCAGTTGAGGAAGTAGTGAAAAATCTGTATCAGCTTTACCTTTAGAAGTTCAAAATTCTTTCCTTCAAGGGAAGATGCTTTTATTCCTTTAGAGGGAACAGCTAACTTGATTTTTAGATATGTAAGGAACAAATTATATGGACAACTTTTCTTCTCACATAACTCAGTGCTTTAGTTTTGTGAAAGTCATAATGAACATGCCATCTTAGAATAATGGTGCTTTACTTGAAACCTGGCTCTCAGAAAACATGTCAACTTTTTTGAAAAATCTGTATATATGTAAGAATATGCTTATGAGCTATAAACTAAATCTTTTTAAATTTTCAGTTTTACAATTATGAATGCATGTGGTTATGTTTAAGATTATATAAAATTCTAGATTGTTAGACTGAAGCATGCAAACATTTTAATATGTTTTTAATTTAGGTCTTGCTATCACAGATGAAATTTTGCTGAGTAAGGCAGAGTGGTCCAAACTTTTTGAAGCTCCAAACTTCTTTCAAAAGTACAAGTATGTATTTTAAGGCATGTTGAACATGTTCTTTTAAGTAATGGTTTAATGGCAGCATATATGATACCTTTTCCTCATAGACTAATGTAGTTTTGGATTTTCCTTCCTCTCACTTAGGACATACCATTTTTTAGTAAACTGCTTATTATCTGTTTTTCAGTGTAATGTGTGGCCCCTAAAGTTTTGCCGCAGCAAGAGTTTGGTCATCCTATATTAAACCTGACCCAAATAGGAAATCCATATACTTTGGCAAATTGGGGAACTCTTAACATCTGTAATTGAACTTATCTATTAGAAAATGAAGTATTTTTATGTAATTCTGGAAACTTATTTATCACTAAAATTCTTTAGAACACAGACTTAGCTAATAAAATGCCAATATGTAGCCATTTTAGTGCTTTCAGTAGTTAGAGCACATTAGTAATATCCTAACAGTTCCCTCCCAGTTAATAGCCACTTTCAAGTCTTTATACAATTAGTTTTCTTGGGATCTAAATGGGTTTAACAATTTTTAGTACTGATTTGAATATAATGGTTCAATACCTTAGGTTAAAAGCTTCGTTAAATTGTGTTGGTGAAAACTGTGTTTTATAAACATTTTTTAAAACAAACAAACTACACGGACTTACACTTTTATTTGCTCTGGGCTGAAAATTTGCCAGAGTCCCCTTAATTTTTTTTTGAATGCTTGAAACTTTCCTGATCATGTTGGATTGTGTTTTGTAATAATCTAAACAAGATTACTTGTTGCTATTTCCCCAATTAAAAAGAAGAATGATGACCTTCATGATGTCTCTGTGTTTTCTGTATCTTTTGAATGAAAAAGCAGTAATGGAACCAGCTTAATTATTACATTCTGCGAGCACTATGTTGTTAGTAAAAATTTAAATAGTTTACTATTTAATAATCTTATTTTATTACACACCATATATTGTGCTTTCCATTTGGCAGATAATTTTTGTTTTGTATTTTAACTAATGTTGAGGAAGCCACCTTTGAACATGAAATAAATGTATGTACTGATAGTTTTTAAAACTACAATATGAGACAATTGTATAAGAAAATCATGATAATATCAGCATCTCTTAATTGCTGAGAACCAAGCATGAATTCTTTTCCTATCTAACTTACTTATGTGAATAAGAGGTAGATGGGATGGAGTTCTTCAAAATATCTACTTAAGCTGTTTCTTTCATTTGAAGAAAGATTAACATCAAAATTGAACAACCCTTTCCATTGTTATTTCATTTGAATAAATTGACATTACTAGAACTTTGGTGCTTTTTTAAAAGCTTTCTTAGTATTTCTTTAAATTTTTTTAATCTTTATTATGTGCCCAATAGTACCTATAAAGTTTTTGATAAAAAGATTATTATTGCAGTGGTGCATGCCTGTATTCCTGCTGACTTAATGGGACTGAGGCAGGTCGATCCTAAGTTCGAGGCCAGGCAACTTAGGCCCTAAGCAACTTAATGAGACCCTGTCTCAAAGAATAAAAATTGCTATGATAATGCTCAGTGGTAAAGTCCCTCTGGGTTCCATCCTAGTGTCCCCCCCCCCAAAAAAAAATCTTGAAGCAGTCAAATCCTTTGTAGGATATTTACAAAGACTTAAATAGGTATGATGAAATACCAGAAAGTTTATTTCAGAAAAATTTGTTTCACCTGAATATCCTGGGAAAATTAATTATTAAAAATAGTTCATTGAGTTAATTTTATCTTTGCCAAATTCCATGTATATTTTTGTCTTTTCCAAAAATGTCCTCTTCAAGGTACAGTGATGATTATCCTTAGGCTTTTGGAGGTATTCATTGATTGAATTTAAATCATCTTTATATGAAATGCCTTGATGATTAGCTGTATGACTGAATTTGAAATCCTTATTTTCTCCATGATTGAAAGTTGGTTAAGTATTATTTGAAGCATATCCTGAAGATACTGTTATTTGATAGGTGTAGAGTTCTATATATATCTTCCCTTCATGAGAGGGAAAAACTGTAGAGGGAATTTTGTTTGTCTTAAAAAGCAATCTAGGGCTGGAGATGTAGCTCAGTTGGTAGAGTACTTGCCTGGCATGGACAATGCCCTGGGTTCAATCCCCAGCACCACAAAGGAAAAAAAAATGGCTAATCTTCTAAAAGAAAATAATACCTACCTTGAGAGAAAGGAGTAATTTTCTGTAAAGAGTTCTAAGAAAATATTTTCTGTATTTCCTCTTTAATATTAAACATAGCTATTAAGTAAGCTAGCAGTAAAGAAAATGTGAATACTTATGTGTATTGTTTCGCTGGGATTCAAGGAAGGAAACCAATTAGGAAAGCCAGAGTAAGTTTTAATGAAGTTGTATGTACAAAATTATTTAGATTTTAACATTTGTTTWAAAAATTTAGGATAATGAAATACAACTTTTGATTCTGAATACCTAAAGATAAAATTGTTGAAGGATTTTTGACTAAGATTTTCATCAGTGTTCATATCTGAACTGTCATCTGTTTTAAGTATTGAGATGAAATAGCAAGGGAACCATCCAAAATGCTTTTTGTAAATAACTGTTAGGTGGTATAACAACTATATTTAAGTGTTCTTAGGCCTTTCCACATAGATTTAAGTACATTCAGGATACATTTTCATAGTTAAATTTTTATTAGAAGCCATGTCTCTAAATTTTGGGAAAAGGTAATGGCTGTTGACTTTAAAGTGTGTCACGAAGGCATTTGAGATTGTTGATACATGGTGATTGTGAAACAGGATCAAAAAATATTCTAGATTAGAATTGCTTTTGTTTGTTTTCCATCGAAAACTTTGGTTTTTAAGATTTTTATGTAGGTTTAAAGAATGAATTTGGGATTTTGTTTATTGCTTGGGTGAGTGTTTTTCTAATGACTGATGTAAAATAATTGCAAATTATTTTTATTAATTATTACATTTCACACCAATTCAAATTTTGCATAAATTTGAGTAAAGGACATTTAACTTCATCATTAATACTTGAGTTAATCTTTTACCTTTACATTGTACAGAGATGAAAAGACTCCCCTATTTCAATAAGAATTAAAATTGAAGTCATAATCTATAAAACTCAGGAGGTAGGAAGTATCAAGATCAATTGGATTGCCAACAAAATTATGTTCAAATGGATTATCTATTATATCTTAGTAAATAGAGAACATGGTACTATATCATTTACAAACTAGGTGATTTGGCCCTCTGCTGGGTGAAGCCAGCTAAGTTAAACCTGATTTTGATGCTTTGTTGTCTGCTGTTCAGAGTTGCTACACTTGGGCAAAGGAACTCTTTCTTCATCTATCTTCTACCCCCGTATTTTTTTTTTTTTTTAATCAGTTCACTCTTCTTTTTCTTCTTTTGTGGGGGAGAAAGGAGGTAACTGGGGATTGAACCCAGTGAGGTACATCCTTGGCCCTTTTTATTTTTTATTTTGAGATAGGGTTTTGCTAAAGTTTTTCAGGACCTTGCTAAGTTGCCCAGACTGGCCTCAAACTTTGTATCTTCCTACCTCCTGAGTTGCTGGGGAAGGTTTGTACCTTGTGCACAGCTTAGCTGAATCTTTAATGGAAACCTAGATAATCTAGAAATCAGGTCATCTGAGGTTGTTAGGATTTTGTGTGAGTGTGAGTATTCTCTACATAAAATCCACAGATTTTAGTTATTATTTTAAATTTTTGCTAGGGAGCTTTTTGGTAAACTTTACTTTCATATATATTTACATGTATATGTGGATTTTTTAGTTATAGATGGACATAATACTTTTAATTTTGATTATTTAATATTTTTATGTGGTGCTGTGGATCAAACCCCAGTTCCTCACACATGTTAGGCAAGTGCTCTACCACTGAGCCACAATTCCAGCCCCCAGATTTTAGTGTTTTTATGTGACTTTTTAAAATTTGGTCTATGTATTCGGCTTGTTCCCAAATAATACTAAACAAATGGGAAAGGAAGTATTAAGTTTATGTATTTGGACTATATTTGTATATAGTTGCATTCACATTTTCATATACTTATATCACAGACCTATTTTTATGTGTTTACATATGCACACCTCACTTTTGAATTACCTGCTACTTTTTTTTTTGACAGAATGCCTTTGTTTATTTTTATGTGTTGCTAAGGATCGAACCCAGTGCCTCACATATACTAGGCAAGCCCTCTGCCCCAGCCCCTACCTGTTACTTTTAAGTTTACTTCAAATTAATTTACTTGAAATTAAAAATATTTCTGCCACTAAGATAAGTATTGTTACCCCACTTTATAGATGATATATGCAAGTTTTAGAACAGTCTAGGTTTACAGTGTTTTTCAAATATATTGTGAGCATAACTAATAAAATAACTTATTGGGCTGTTTTATGGTAGTACGGTTTAAATAATGCTTAAATTTGTTAGGCTTTCTTTAACCTTTGCTAAAATGTCCAGAAAGTGGACATTTTATTTGAAATTTGTTGATAGTGTTTTTTTGGGGGGTGGGGCGGGAGTCACAACACAAAATGTGAGTGAACACATCAAAAAGATTTTAGATTTTTTTGGAGACTGAAATGAAATTTTTGTTTACACTTTTATTTTTATAACCAGTATTTATATTAGCTGTGAAATTTATCTTCTAGTGCTTACTAAATAAGTATTGGGGAAGGGCTTGTTTGACTGAACTTCTTTGGTTGGAGGAAAATGAATACTTTAGAGACAAATAGTTTTGAAAAGATTAAAAAAGAAGACTTTGTTAGTGATGGTATTTTCTGAAATAAAATATTTTTTCTATTTTGAGTGGGATTGAATTCTGGATAGAAATCAGCTTTCTTTTTGTTGCTCTCAGGATAATGATGTCTTTTTTTTTTATTGTCACAGAAGTTTTTATTAAAGTCTTGGAGTCTGATTTAAATTATGCATTCTGTTTAATATTAACTACCATTTACTCTAATTAAGAAGCCTGATATATTGTTATTTGAAGTTACTATTGTATTATGGGTATTTAGTGATTATTTTTGTTGCCAAAGCCACTCTGCTTGTTTGTCCTAAAACATTTTCTTTTAGTAGTATATTTCAGTGAGCAGCTCTTTTATAGATTGAACGCTTCACTGGAATCATTGTGAAAAACTATCATTTAATGTTTATTCAGCTTCCTTGAATTCAGCTGCTCTTTTTGTCGTCATTCCTAAAAATCACTATTGTTTTTCAGAAAAATTAAATTCATTTGTACTTAGAAATGTGTAGAGTTAGCTTCTGTAATTTTATTTGCATATTGAGATTGCAGGCCCCCCCTTTGTAAATTGATGTTGATCTATAAATGTAATGAAACTTACTACATTATCGTTTTAATGTCCAAAACAAAATATGTAAATAAAATAAAAAGCATGTTGTCTTTATCTTCAAAGGCATTATATTGTACTTCTAGCAAGTGCACCAACGGAAAAACAACGCCTAGAATGGTGAGTAATAAGATTAGACTTGACAGAAAAATAAACTTCAAAATGAATCAGCCCCAGAACACATCAAGTTTGTTTGAGTTGTTCGCACATGGAGCTTTACTACTTCTGATGGAAGTGTAAGAATTAGAGAATCCATATGCAAATTAGTTATTTTATAAAGATTTACATTTTTTAACTGTTGATTTATTAAAGGTTTTATTTTATATTTTAAGCTTTCTGGTTTTTCTTTAATTATTTGTTGGAATATCTTTTGTAACCTTCCTGATGTGGGTAAACTGTGCTATAGTTCTCTTTCTTCCTCAGTTCAGCATTTTTGGGAAGAGCTCAGGGTTTTTGCCTTTGAGTGTGGGTGGATAATTCATTCAGTTGAAWTGCCTTTGTATGGATTTTAAGTTATGTGATCTTCATGTTTCTGTTTTACACAAGCATTTGATTTGTGCATTTGCTATTTTAAATAAAGTCAACCAAAACTTTCATTAATACTAAGTGACATTTGTTCAGGGTGGGCTTGGTGGAATCAAAAATTCGAATCTTGGTTGGAAGTTTGGAGAAGAATGAATTTATTACACTGGCTCATGTGAATCCCCAGTCATTTCCAGCACCCAAAGAAAATCCTGACAAGTAAGCACTCTTAATATAAAAGTACTCTTTTCCTCTTTTATTCATAGAAGTTTGACCTTACAAGTATCTGATTTCTGATGGATTCTGGATCATTGGAAGACATATAAATAAAATCGGGCTCACATTTTCATTTAAGGTTCTTGAGTAGGTCAGTTGTTGGTTTGATTCTTGCTGTTATTATGAGATTATAACTATTTTTTAAAAATTAGAGGATTATGGGAGTATTAATGATACCTTAAAAAAATAAATCACTTTTAAGAAGTAGGATTCATGGGAGGCTTAGGTAGGAGTATTGCAAGCCAACCTCAGCAAGGCTCTAAGCAAATTAGCAAGACCCTATCTCAAAATTAAAAAAAAAAGGGGGCTTGGGATTTGGTTCAGTGGTTGAGTGCACTTGGGTACAAAAATTCCTACTACCAAGAAGAAGGGGGGGGGGAAAGTATAGGTGAAAGAATTAGTTGAGATTGTTAATATAGGATAATTATTCTGTAAACCCAGGGCCTTATGCATAGGATAACTATTCTGATGGATTGAATAGATTATTTTCCCTTTTGAAATCATGTAAAGAAGTTCTTTGAACATTTTACACATTTTTGGTTACTGCAGTCTTAATTATTTAAAGATTGCATGTTTCATTCAGCAGATAAACCATTGGTTCATTGTTTAAAAGAAGCGGAGTCAACTACTTTTTCACTAATTATGCTGTAGTCAGATTATGGCCTTTTTATGTGAATTTTAAAGTTTAATAAATATATATGTTAAATTTTCCTATTCAGAAAATCTTTGTGCATACTTTTCTAAAAGGCAGTATTATTTCTTCCTCATTAATTAGACCATAGTATTTCTTTTGAGTCTAGTGCCTTTGGTCATCATTATCAAGAACATCATACAGGTCAGGCAAAGTGGTGCAGGTTGTAATTCCAGCTATTCTGGAGGCTGAGGCAGGAGGAATGCAAGTCACAGGTCAGCATGGGAAACTTAGCAAGACCCTGTTACAAAATTAAAAAGCTCAGTGGTAGAGTGCATATGCAGAGAGTATATTTGTCCTGGGAGTTGATTGTTTACATAGTTAAAAGAACATAGAAGACATGTTTGGGATAGAACTCTGAATGTACACCTTAGTTTGCTCATACGTTTGTGTTATAAAATTTTCCTCGTGTTCTCCATGATGTTAACCAAGTGATAAATACATTTTCATGAATACTGATAAAGAGTGGTAATGTTCTTTTTTTCAGGGAAGAATTTCGCACAATGTGGGTGATTGGGTTAGTGTTTAAAAAAACAGAAAACTCTGAAAATCTCAGTGTTGATCTTACCTATGACATTCAGTCTTTCACCGATACAGGTATGTCTACTTGGATAATCAAGCATTCAGGTTGCTTGCATTTTAAATTTATTGATGTACATGATAATTAGTGATATTGCCAATAACTTGAAATGACCTGAGAATGTCACAGTGATCATAATGATCTTAATGGCTTTGGATTACTTTCATTACTGTCTAATATATAATTGATTTTTTTTTTCTTGTGACAGACCTTAAAGTTAAATGGAATTACTTAAAATTTGATTTCTCCACAATTCTGTATGGAATTAGAAACCACCTGAATATTAGTTTTGTCTACAAAACTGACTATATCTGACTACTTTAATCATCTTGAACCTTAGAAATTGATGCAGCTGAACTTCTAGTAATCTGAAGACATTTTTCTCACGTGTTAAATGTAGACTGAAGTATTAATTCATAGGCAGGGAATAGAGTGATTATGTGTACATTTCAGTTTGACTTGTATCCTGAGATAAAGGGTAGTTTTATTTAACTTAAGACAAAACGATGGATGTGTGACCATTATGTAGATGTGTAACTTTTTTTTTAGGGGAATGTTGCATGTGCACAGGGACAACTGTACATCTTCCCTAAGGACTATTTCTTTTCTCTTTAAAGTATCTCTCCACCTTTGTTTTAAATTAGTAAGTGGCATTTTCATTTCTCCACTCTTGAGTTTCCTCTTGTGAACATTTAGGTTTAATATTAATTTTTTTTTTTTGCCTACTTAACTAAAGAAGAAAAGAGATTGGTGGCAGTTTGCTAAAACGTTAGTATCATACACTGATTCCAATGTAAAAGAGAAATAAAGGGACTACTGTACTATGTTCCTTTCATCTGTGGTTTCACTTTTGTTACTGTAGGTCCGCTGTGATTCATAAATATTAAATGGGAAATTCCAGAAATGAACAGTTGACAAGTTTTAGATTACATATTGCTGAGAAGCATGACATCTTGTGCCCTCCTACGTTTTTCTGCTTAAGTGGCAAATTATCTCTTTGTCTAGCATATCCATGTTGTGTACACTAACCATCTGTTAGTCAACTTAGTAGCCACTTAGGTTATCAGTTGCCATATTGAAGTATTTGTATTCAAGTAACCTTTACATGGTAGCCTAGTGCTACATCACAAGATTGATTCATTCATGTTTGACCTCTTATTCCTCATGAGAAGAAAAAGGCAAGTACGGTAAATTGGTAAATTAAAATACTTTGGTAGACCACATTTGTATAACTTTTATTACAATACGTTGTTATAATTGTTTTTTTTTTAATTGGTTCTTTTTGTTAACCTCTTATTGGGCTTAATTATGTATGTGTGGGAAAACAAAGTATATATGGGGTTCGGTACATATGGTTTCAGCCATCCACTGGTTGTTTTTTTTTTTTAACATACCTGCTTGTGGATAAAGGTTGACTGTTGTGTGCATTTCAGTATGTAAATGCTCAAATACAGTGACACTAGAAGACATATTTTAGAAAAGTCAAATGATTATACTTCATGTAGAATCACTGGCAGTGCTGTATCTGGGAATTCTGACTGACATGGGTGTTGTTTGTGGTTATTCTGATTGATATTCAGCAGTGTTGAAATTTGTAACATGATAGAAATAAAAGTTGGAAATAATGCAAAAATTTCCATGTTTTTTGGTTTTGTTTTTTTGTGCTGGGGTTGAACCCAGGGCCTTATGCATGCTAATCATGCACTCTGCCACTGGGCTATATGCTTATTAGCCCAGTGACTAATTTCTGATATACATAGTGGTTGTGCTGTAAGCAGTTATGTGTTAAGAAACGTTTTTTTTTTTTTTTAAAGTAGAACTGAATCACTTTCTTGATTCAAATAATTAGTAAATTTCCATCTTTAGAAATGGTGATATACCATGTTACCGTTCTCTGGGTGGAACAGTCTACATTAAAGGATATAAGTTAATCACTGTGACAAAATGAAAACCTCCCTAGATGGTTTTAAGATGTCATTTGTAGGACATTATTCCTCCTCCTGCCACAGATGTATTTTTTTCTGAAGTAAAAGTTTTGATGCCCACCTAGTCTGTTTGCGAAAAAACAAGGTATGCACACATGCTTGAATTAGTAAATTTATTTTGTACATTGCATCCAAATTAAGCTGTTTATTAAAGATTTTCATGAATCAACTAGGTTTCAAGGATCTTTTGGGTGTTTATAAAAGGGAATACTTACTTCTGTTATTGAAAATTTTTAATGTAATGTTTTTTTTTAATAACAAATTAACATGTTCACAACAGATTTTCATCCTTAATTCCTCCCAGCTTTTTTTTTTCAAGACATTGGAGACATCTGATGCCACTTTTTCCTCTACTTAGTTTTTTGATGATTCTTTCAAAATACATGAAGAATCCTGCTACTTACTGCTTTTTCTAGTACTTACTGCTAGTTCAAGCTGCAGCTATTGCTCTGTTGGATTACTACCCTTGCCTCAGCTTTTTTGTTCTGCCTTGCCCACCTTACTATTTTCATTTAGCACCCAAATGGTATTTTTAAGACAGAATCATGTGTTGCCTGGCCACCAATGTCATGCAGAATTAAAGTCTTAAGTCCTAAACTGATGTTCGTAAATTATGCGATCTTCTCATTATTCCTCTTTTTTGACCTCATCTCCTATTATAARTTCATAATCCTTTGTCCGTTTGTCTGGGTCTACAAAAGTAATAAAATCATTGCATAAGATCCCAGCAGCCTGGAGCACTTGCTAATCACAACATTTTGCAGGGAACCATTGTTATTCACATTAGCAAAAATAAAGGCCAAATAGCTATAAAGAGTTAAGATTAGAGTTTGGTTCTAGATGAGTTTTGATGTCAGTCCTTAGAAAGAAAGCCTTCTGTGTTGGGAGTTATTTCCAGAGGAGGGATTATGGAGTTCCACTTCTCCTCTTTTCCTTTTGTCTTTTTTGTTATTCCTTGAACATTCTATGCATGTTCTCCTGCTCAGGGAATGTGGTTTGTGATGTTTGCTTTCCCTGAAATGCCATTCTACTAGGTACTCTTAATCTTCAGTCAGTGTTACTAAGTTTCCAGGCTCAGCATCCTGTACTGTTCCTTGTTCAGTTTTTCTACATAGTACTTACCTCCATCAGGCACAAAATATCTTACATATTTCCTGTTTTTTCCTTACACCTGTAGCATGTTGACTCTGATTCTCTTTTGGTCTCCTTTCTTTACTGTTATCTCCAGTGTGCAACATTGTGAGTGAGGACTCAGTATAGATGCTTAATCAGTATTTGTCATATGACTTACTAAATATTTTGATTATTTTGTGGCCCTGGGACCTAAATAATTTGGATTTATTTCTTTGTAGCATTTTCTTTTTATATCTGTGACCTGTTATTTGATTTATTTTTATAATAAAAAACATGTCATTACTTAAAATTTTATCTTGCAGATTCTTGTAAAGTATCTTACCTTGGAACCATTTAACAAAGAAAATAGTTTAATAAGTTTGACTTTTATTTTGTTGCATGTATTACATACTCAGGGTAAAAATTTTAATTATACTAGTAGCAAAAGGGTATGGGTTTAAGAAATTCTTTTTCTTCAATTCTGGTGTTTTCTTAAAAGAGTTACTATGCTGGAAGATTTAATATTCTTAGTGCTTTTATTCATTATGTGTACCTTACAGAAAAAATTTCCCGGACAATGAATTTTGTCAGATTAGGGACAGGTCTTTACCTTACAGAAAAAAATTTTCTCGGACAATGAATTTTGTCAGATTACGGACAGGTCTTGATCTGATAATTTTATACATATGCAGTATTGATGGAAAAAAAAATTTCCTACTTAGAATACTTTCCCCTGAGTGAGTTTAATCTGACTTTTAAAAAATGTTTCTGTTTCTTGTAACAATTTCTAATTGTATAGTTTATAGGCAAGCAATAAACAGCAAGATGTTTGAGGTGGATATGAAAATTGCTGCAATGCATGTAAAAAGAAAGCAACTCCATCAACTACTACCTAATCATGTGCTTCAGAAAAAGAAAAAGGTAAATTTAGAAAGTACTTACAACAGCATTACTAACATAATGTTTTGTGCATCCAGCCTGCAAGTATTTCAGAATTTAGATTTAGTTAATAGATCATATTTGAAATAGGTGACAGCATTAAAAAAAAAAAAGTCTGTTAATGTGGAGCAACTCCATTCATGTGAAATCTTACTCAAATCAGTTTTCTTGGACATACTTGCCTCAGACTTCAGAGAGATAAGTGGTAATGCTGCATATTCTTATTATTATACATCCAGATTATCTTCTTTTATAAAGTCTTTTATTCTTATCCATTTAAAGTCCTACATTAGTGTCTCAATTCCTTTTCTTTTAAAGTGAACCATGTTAAATTAGTCAAGTTATGTGGACTAAGAAATTGTATTTTTTTCCCGCAGCACTTGCTCAATCTATTTATTTAATGGGAGGCAAGAAATTATGTTTTTTTATTTTGGTAAGTGTAGAACAATAAAAGTACATGTATATTACTTAAAAATTATAAGTTATTGGTTATAAAGGAGATCATACCACCAGAGGTTAAATTTTTGCAGTATGTTGTGGGGTTAATTTTTCCTTTTGACTAACTTGGAGCCATTTTTTTCCTTCCTTGGACTTACAGCACGTATTTTAGAATTTTAGATAACAAGCGTGATAACAATTTTATTTTTTTTAAGTGGCTCCAAAAATAGATGGCTTACCAGGTATGATGATGCACGCCTATAATCCTGGCAGCTTGGAGGGTAAGGCAGGATTTCAAAATCAAAATCTGCCTCAGCAACTTTGTGAGGCTCTAAACAACTTATCGGGACTCTATCTTTACATAAAAATTTAAAAAAGGGTTGGGAATGTGGCTTAGTGGTTAAGTGCTCTTGGGTTCGATCCTGGGTGCCAAAAGAAAAAAAAAAGATGGCTTATTTCTACAGTGGAATCACTTATAGTTTGATAGCAGTGAAAATAAATGATATGGAGAATCACATGTTAATAAAAAGGATGCAGATGAATCTGTACAGCATGCTACTGTGATGTAATGTTTACAAGTTTAAGAATTTGTAAARCAACATTTAGGAGATGAATACAAAACAAAAGTGTATGTTAGAGAATGATGACCATCTTCGTATTCATGGTAATAGTTGTTTATCTGCATCTGGGGTTGGGAGGAGAACAGTATAGTTAATATACAAAAGACTTGAACTTTAAAATATTTTGTTTCTTAAAACAGACTAAGCTGGGGCATAGTGGGTTATGCTTATGATCCCGGCAGTTTGGGAGGCAGAGACAGGAGGATCGCATGTTYAAGGCTGTATCTCAAAATTAAAAGGCTGGGGACTTGGCCCCATGGTTAATCACCCTTGGTTTCAATCCCTTATAGGGAAGAAAAATAGAAAATCAAAAAACCTAGAGCATGTTAAGGTAAAAGGCATTCATTGAATTTAAGCCTAAGGAATGTGTAACAGGCTCCTTGGTTCAAATTCAGGCTGTATTGCTTCCCATCTGTGACACTTTGGCATGTTATATGACAAGCATCTGTTCTTGATTTTTCTCATTACTAAAATCAGGTTAATGCTTTTACCTGTCTCATTTGGTATTTCATGAGGATTAAATCAATTCGTGTAAAAAGTGGCTTAGACTAGTGCCAGCCACACAGTAAATGCTCATATTGACTTGTTATTATCATCACCATCATCATTTATAATCTAGGGATAGGTATATAAATTTTGACGGGGAGGAAGAAATCTAAAATGAAATTCTGGAATTAAATAGAATATTATGTTACTTTTTCTTTATATTCTTCTCAGTGCTGGGCATCAACCCAGGGTCCCATGCTTACTGAGCATGTACACTGTGACTGAACTGTACTCCCAACCTTTGACGTTACTTTTACAAAGTGCTTGTCTCTCCCCAGCACTGCAGACATTCTCTTAATCTATTTGTACCATGAATTACCTAATCTAGAAAGTGACAAAAATATGCATGTATTGCTAAGCAATTTTAGTTTTATATTGTCAGGAAGAACATTTGTCTTCTAATTCTTTGAGATTGTATTATTGTTTTTTCTTTTATAGTGCTGGGGATCAAACTCGGGGCCTCATGCATATAGCAGGTGCTCTACCCAGCCCTGATATTATATTAATTAATGAATTAAATTGTACTTAAATGTAAATTTATATATATATATATATTATGTTTGAATAAATATATATATTTTGTTTTCAGAAGTGAATATAAATAGCCTACCATTCCTTTTATTAAAATATTTATAATAAGGGTTAATTAGATTGTCTGTTATCCTAGATTCATACTAGTTTTTAAACTTACTGTTAAATGATAACAGTATATTTGGAACAACTAGTGTATAGATACGAGAATTTTGGATGTTTTATTTTTATTATGTTTTTGTATAGTATTTCTCTAGAACTATTTAACAGAAAATTATGATCACTAACTTATTTGTTTACAAATGAAGTTAAGTGTTTACAATTTGTCTTGCAATGACTGGTAACAGTTAATTTCTACAGATATTATTCATTTTACATGTTATGTAATGTATATTTTTCAGTTTTTTTTTGATGCAACTTACCGTTTTATGATCCGCTTTGTTTTGAGCTTAGTATATTGTGACCATCCACCCAAATTATTTTTTAGTGGCTCCTTAAAATCTCTTTGTATGACTATAGTTTGATTAAACCCATCCTGTTTTTAAATTAATTTAGATTTTTACTAATTTCCTTTATTAAAGTAGTACTTTCTTGTTTTTATAAGTATCTGGGAGTATTGAATTCTTTAATGGTTGCATTGGACTCTAATAGCTTCTTTTTATTAATCTCTGTTTACAAAGCACTGTACCAGTCTTTTTCTGTATTTACTGTTCCAGCAACTCCTAGATATTGTCTCTTATAGAAGAAATGGAGTGGTTAAGAAACGTGTCTCTTTATACAACATAACTTTTCATGTTGAATAAAATGTGAATTAAATCTAGATCTGACTGACATGTATACATGTATTCTGTAGTATCCTCTTGTCTTATTTATCTTTTATTAGAAAATTTTGATGGAATATTTATGATTATTTGGTTTTGAGGTGTTTTGCCATCACACTTGATGTAAATGAAAAGTAGCTTAATACTGTATTGTGTCAGACCAGCCACTTAAAATATTCACTTTCACAAATTATCCTGTSGTGGGTTACCATGTGTGTGGTTACCTAGTCAGGCAGGTAACTACATGGAATTGAATATAATTTATTTACTGAACAAATCTTTCTCGTGTCTGGTAGAGTAAGGTTGGGAGTATCTTTGAATGGAAGTATACTCATTTAGAATACTGGATATTTTTGTTTCACAATTGGTTTTATAAGCAAAAGGCATTACACTCTCTTCTCCCTACCATAAGATCTTGTCTTCCCCATTTGACCCATTTTTACTTATTTATGTAAGTTGTTTTCTTAGTAATAAATCAAAGATTAGAATGTCTTGTCATTTGGGGAACTGAAGAGCAGAGCATGCATACACACCCACATATATATATTTGGTTTTGGTTTTTGTCAACAGTGTAAGTTATTTTCATTAGAATGTTTCTTTGGGAGCAGAATGTATAGCTTACTGGTGAGACTTGCCTGGTGTGCATGAAGCCTTGAGTTTGATCCCAGCACTGTATTTAAAAAAAAAAAAATCCTGTAAATAAGTGAACACTAAGGTTTAATGTATCTGAAGTGGGGGAAAATGAAGCTGAGTGAACTAGCCTAATGAATAAGCTTTGTTAGCAATACTTAAAACTTTGCCACTCAGGAATCAACTTTAATCCCATAAAACTGTTTTTAGTTTTGCTTTTTTTCCCACATTATCTATTTTAGAGGGATTTTGATTGATTTGTTTTGTTTTTAAGAAGCAGAACCAACATTGGGGTTCTATATGTGGTAACTGGGTTTAGTTTTCAGAAAATTAATTTTGCTTTTATTTTTCTCAGGACAGTTTATATACAAACAAAAGTAAATATACCATATCAAAATCTAAATTACAATTACAGCAGCCGAACTCTTTGTTTTTAGAAGGTTCCTTTTTTTGAAAATAGTGAATGACAGTAAATTATACTGGATTTTATTTTTGTTTGAAATTGTGTACTTTTTATGTTCATTATGGAATAAATCAATAAATTGTACCATGTGAGGTTGTATATATGCCCATAGTCCCAACTACTGAGAGGCTGAAGCAGGAGGCTCTTTTGAGTCTAGGATTTCAAGGCCAACCTGAGCAACATAGTCAAACCCTATCTTAAAAAACAAAAAACCGGGGCTGGGCTTGTAGCTTAGTGGTAGAGTACTTGCCCCCACATGTGAGGCACTGGGTTCATTCTCCAGTACCACATAAACAACTAAATAATAGTGGCTGGGATTGTGGCTCAGAGGAACTGTGCTTGCCTCACATGCGAGAGGCACTGGGTTTGATCCTCAGCACCACTTAAAAATAAACAGTAAATAATAACGGGCTGGGTATATAGCTCAGTTGGTAGAATGCTTGCCTAGCACGCACAAGGCCTTGGGTTCAATCCTTAGCACCACACCAAAAAAAAAAAGAAGGTATTGTGTCCATCTAAAACTAAAAATATTTTATATCTATAGATATTTTATATATATAAAAACACACTTTTTAAAAATTAATTATTTTAACCCACCCTCTTTAGCTAGCCTGGCATTTGCCTGTAACTTTGGCTATCCTGGAGTTTGAGGCGGTATGATCGAATAGTGAAAGGCCAACCTGGGCACCTTAGTGAGATCCTGTATCAAAATAAAGTAGAAGGGCTAGGGGTATTGCCCTTGCTTGTCCTCAATTAAATCTCCAGTACTGCAAAAAAGAAAAATTACTTTAAATCCACTAGCCAGATAGTCGTTGCTAATATCATATTTATTAAGACATTTTTTCTTCATGTGTGTTTCCTCATATTTACAGTCCCCGGATTCAAAATTGATGTATTTTCATATTATAGTGATTTAAGTTGCATTAGGTCTTAGTATACATGCTTAATGTAGCATTCCTTTCCCCTCTTTTATCACATGGAACTATAGTTCAATCAAGACATAATAAGTTCCATATCTTTGCCTTTTATATTCGGCACGACAGACTTATCTGCTTTATGCTTTTTAGTAAAAAGTATGTCAGTTAAGAGTTTTCATGTTTCAAAGATCTGGGTGAAATAAAGATATATTTAATTAAATATTTTGTTGATTGCAGCATTCAACAGAAGGTGTCAAATTATCAGCTCTGAATGACAGCAGCCTTGACTTGTCTATGGACAGTGATAACAGCATGTCTGTGCCTTCACCTACTAGTGCTATGAAGACCAGTCCATTGAACAGTTCTGGCAGCTCTCAGGGGTAAGGAAACAAGGGAAGTAGAAGTGGAAAGATTAGCTGTTTGCTGAACACATTAAAATGTATTCTCTTGTGGCATTAAAGTAATCTGTTAATGTTTACTCCCTAATTTTTTAAAAATAGCAATTTAACTCCCTAGTTGTGAGACAGTTTTTAGTTTTGACCTAGCATATATTTGTATTTCATTTTTGAAACTGGTATGTCTTTGATTTAAGAATGAATATAGCACCTTCATCCTTCTTGATTTATATATTTAGACAGCTACTGATAGAGGATGCTATATGGTATGCTAAGAAGAATAGACAAAAGGGATACTACCTTTCTATCCTAGAGCTGCTTATTTGGAACAGGAGAGCTTATCTGTGAATCCATTTGTGAACTTCTGAAGAGGGTAAAGGTCCAGCATAGAGTGGTTTCAGATAGAAAAACCTTTTTAAGAAGAGCTACTTCTTTTAAAACGGTTAAAATATTTTGAAAGAAGAACATATCTGTGGTAGTGAAAATTAGAACACAGTAAAGCCATATTTATGTTTAATAAGTTGACAAACTTGAAACTTTAAAAGTTGGAGTGTCAGTTAATATGCAGTCATTGGCAGAGGTGCAGTTTGGGGAAGATTTCTGAAAAAATGTGAAATAGAAAATGCCTATGCACAGATGAGTTCATGGAGTTTTTTTTTCATTTTGACTTGGCATGCATGTTTTTTAAAGCTTAAGCTAATCATATATAATCCAAAGACTTCAACCCTGAACATGTCTTATAAATTTTGGAGTTATAAAACAAATTTCATTTTGTTAGARCATTAACTTTTATACTTACATTATTTAAATTTTTTTTTGGTGAGGGGTGAAGAAGCAAATATTTAAAATAAGAATCTTGTGTAATTTGAGTTTAGTGCAAGTACATGAATTCACAAATTTGGTCTTGCAGTTTAGTTTCTTAAAGTAATATTAAATTCCTTCTGAAAGTAAAAATTTAGTTTTGGTAGGTAATACTGGGGATTGAACTTCAGGACTTTTGAACATCCTGGGTAACACTCCCCAGGTCTGAAAATAAAATTTTTAGTCATTTAATATCCCCTTCAGGGCTCTATTTTCAGTCCTTTATCTCTCTGGAAGTGGTTTTACCTTTTCTGTTAATTCCATTTACTTACATATCCTCACAAACACCAAAATTTTTTTGTTTCTTCAGTGCTGAGAATCAAACCCAAGGCCTTGGGAATGCTAGGCAAGTGTTCTACTGCTAAACTACATCCCCCAGCCCTTTCTTAAAGTTTTATTTTGAGACAGGGTCTTGCTAAATTGCCTAGGTTCTCCTGAGCTTGGGATCCTCCTGCCTCAGCCTCCAGAGTAGCTGTGGGATTATAGGTGTGTGCCATCACACACACTGTAAGCTCCATAGCTTAAAAAAGTGGACTGCTCTGTGGTTCCATGTAAATACCAGAAACCCCTCCCCAAAAAAGTGCTCCAAGTGTTGCCCACCTTGTCCTCATGGCTCCATAATTCCTCAGCTTCAGGGTGTGAGCTATGGCCGAAGGAGAGTAGGGTAACCAGAGCATTTTTTGCTTTTATTTTTCTTTCAGGAGAGTAAAAACTAGCTTATTTAAATGTCCTTATGATAATTACTAGAGACAGAAAAGTGGATATAGGAGAATAAAGAAGTGGTGAGTTTCCTTTACTTCTAAGAGGTACTGGGGTCCAGAATGTAGAAGAATGGATTGGGCGTTGATAAATAATGAGACAATGAATATAATCTCATTGAATAGGAAAGAAGAGGGGTTATGATAGAAGCAGGTATGTCTCATATTTATACTTGAAATTTTGGTTAATTCCTTATGGTTGATGGCTTTGGTTGTGAGTTCAAAAATAGGTCATTTGCCAAGACTGGCCTGTGAAAACAGAGGAAACACCAGAGAGAATTTTGAGGAGGCACAAAGGAGGGTTTAAAATCACTTATTTCTAAAGTAAAATATTAAAATATCCTCTGGTTACTTGAGAGTCTTTGTTGCTAACTTGGCAACTGGATGGGCTTTTAGGGTTTTCTATACCCTTAGATTTTATGTGCAGAAATTTATTTCTGTTTATTAGACCGTTTTTCTATTCTTTTTTAATAGCACCTGATGCCTTCACATCACTTAAGAACAGATCTGTTAGAACTATTTCATCCACTGTGGTAGTTACTAACTTTATGTGGCGTTAAATTTAACTAATATTTAATATTAGAGAAATAACATTAAGTACTCAGTTTTCACTGACTATATTTGAAGGTTAGAATGGCCACATGTTTGTATTGGCAACAGTGTTAAACAGCATAAATAAAAGAACATTTCTGTTGTTCCACAAAAGTCTGTTCGTCAGTATTGCTTTATAGATTATTTAATATTCAATTTTTTGTTTGTTTGTTTAGCAGAAACAGTCCTGCTCCAGCTGTGACAGCAGCATCTGTGACCAACATACAGGCTACTGAAGTTTCTACGCCACAAGTAAATTCCAGTGAAAGCTCAGGGGGTAAGGAGATTGATTTGACAAGTTTGAGAACTTTTACATTATAATTAGTTTTAGTCTTCATTTTAGAAAAATGAGTTTGTTGATTAAATCGTTTGAATTCAGGTTTTAATATTGTTTTATTATTTGTAGGTAAAGTTATTTATGAAATCAAATTCTGAGAGATAAAAGCTTTCTCTGAAATTGATGTTGATGTTATTATTTTAATTTATATGTATTCACGTATTTACTGTTTAGGTACATCAAGTGAAAGCATTCCTCAAACTGCCACACAACCAGCCATTTCTCCACCACCAAAGCCTACGGTCTCCAGAGTTGTTTCCTCAACACGTCTGGTAAACCCACCACCTAGACCTTCAGGAAATGCAACAACAAAAATACCTAACCCTATAGTAGGAGTCAAGAGGACATCGTCACCTCATAAAGAAGAGAGTCCCAAGAAAACCAAAACAGAAGAGGTATATCTATCTATCTGTTCTCACACACACATACACCCCTAAATCCACACACATGCAGACATGTACTTGTTAGTTAGCTGTGGCAACACAAGGTTGCCTGTTTTTAAATGCAGTGGAAAAAAATCATTTGTTAGCCAAAAATGAGTTCTGAAGCTTTGAAAAAGCATTTGGTGTGTCTGTAGTGGTTTAGTGCTACAATTTCTCTTCACCTTTTCCTTCTCATTAGTAACTATCTCTTCTGTTTAAGCCTGGACTTTGGGGCAGGGGTTGGGGTAAGGAGAGCCCTGTGTTTTGAGTTGCATTCAGGGCCTCTCTTCACTAATGACAGGCAAGCCCTCTACCACTGAGCTATAATTACCCCAGTCCATGAAACTTTTTAAACATGTTTGTAGTTTGTAACAGAATTACATGTTATCTTCATTTATTATTCTCTCTTATTTGTACTCATTTCTTCATGGCCTCCTGGGGCAGTTGTATGGAATTTGAACCTTATGCATGCTTTAGCTTACACCACCAGTCCTCAGGTGCTTCTTATTTAATAATAGAGCAAAGTTGCAAAGTCACATTAGTTTTGCAGCCTTGAATGATTACTTCCTACAACCTTCAGGAAGCTTTTTAACATTAATTATTTTTTCTATTTTAAAAATAACAACTGTATTTGGCTTACTTTATTGCATTCTCAAAAGTGCATATTGATTTTGTCTTTGTTGTGCAGGGGCTCTGACTCAAGAAACAGATTCAGGGTTTAACAGGTGAAAGAAGGCAGTTAAGACAGTAGACATGTTTTATTCAGTGGTGGCCACAGCCATTAACTGGCTCCCAGCTTTGTCTCCAGTTCTCAGCCAGTTCCATTTTAGGCCCTTTCTAGCCCATTTCCAAAGGCTTTTTTTTATATRCAAGACACAGAAGGTACACTACCAACAGCTTACACGTGGGTAGGGAGGTACATGTTCAGAAGTTAATGTCTATCCATGAAATCACAGTGTTTCTGGCCTTGACTAACCATAACATAGCTAGTTCCCAGCCCTGACTACACACTAAAACATTAACAAAGCCTTTTGAAAGTGTCTGCCTGGGAGCCTAACTACAGCCATTTGGGGGCCTGCCCCAACAGTCTTTTATTTCCATTTCTTATTTTTTGCATTGGGACTAAACCCAGGCCGTTAGTTATGCTAAGCAAGCTTCACCCTTAGCCCCTTCTATTGTAACAAGACAATAGAAGTTGTCTTGTTAAACAATTTCATCTCTCTTGAGCTACTCTCATCTTTTCATATTAGTGAGGCAGTCACCATTGCCCTGGAGATGATAGGATAAAACATCAATTTCACTGTGATATATTTATCTATCTGCATATATGTGTGTGTGTGTGTAAGTATGTGTATGTGTGTGTGTGTGTGTATCAAATGTTTTTTAATTGAAAGGATTTTTAGAATGGAAAAAAAGAATCTGAGTTTCTCATGGTTTCCTTTGTGTTTTGATTGGTAATAGTGAAAATTTAATTGTTTCTAATTGACCCTTGTCTTGAAATAGACATGTTAAGACAAATGATCAACTAAAAATGAATATTGTGCATTTTGTCACTAGTAAGACAATGATTTTTATTGTTAAATTACTTTTTCTGTTTTTTTATTCTTTTATACAACACACATCTTTGTTTTGTTTTTTAATTAGAGATTCAAAAAAATTGTAGTTGCAAATGGACAGAATGCCTTTATTTATTTATATTTTTTTTAATGTTGTACTGAGGATCAAACCCAGTGCCTTACACATGATAGGCAAACACTTTGCCATTGAGCTACAGCCCCAGCCCCTTAAGTAGAGATTTTAAGGCCTCTTCCAGATAACTTTGAATGAGAACCATTGAAGGAATCAGGCCTAGGAATCTTATTAGAAGCCTCTCTACCACATGATTGTGTTGTGAAGCAACCTAAGAGGAAAGTTGATGTTGTGTTCTTCAGGATTTCATGTACTAGTTTGGTGTAAATTACACATTCTGCCTACTCATGCTGTTTGGAGTTGTCAGAGCATTTCAGAATGCAAGTTTCTTTATACCCTAGTAAAGGATAAGTGTAACTCTAGACTGAACATTTGGTTTCCTTAATGTTATAAGTGGCACCCAAGGAGCTGTTAGTAAATAAATGTATACCGGCACAATGTTTGTAATTTTGTTAGGACTTCTATTGGTAGAATAATGATCATGTTTCCTGTAAAGTGTAGAGAAGCCGTAGGAATATAAAAATTTTAAATTTAGTATGGAAAATTTAAAATATATATGAAAGTAACGCTCACTTAATATACCTATTACATAGTTACAGTTATAATGAATGCTTAGCCAATCTCTGTACCCTCATTTCTGTTAGACATTTGCATTTCCCCCYATGTCCTTGAATTATTTAGAAACAAAAGTCTGACAGGTATCATTTAATAGAATTTTTTATGTCATGCATTTATAAAAGAATGCATAAACAAAATGACTCACTCTTCCAAAACTAATATAATATCATCAAATATCTATCTAGTGACTGTTCAATGTCTTTGATCAACTTGATTTTTTTAATAGTCTCTGTTAAATATGGAACTAAATAAGATTCCTGTGTTAAAATTATTTGATGTTTTTTAAGTTATCCTTTATTTCTTAAATTTTTTTTTTTAAATAGCTTTTTTAGTTGTAGGTGGACACAATACCTTTATTGTGGGGCTGAGGATCGAACCCAGTGCCTCTTAAATGCTAGGCAAGTACTCTACAACTGAGCTACAACACCAGCCCCTTAAGTTAGCCTTTAAAATACAGATTCTCCCTTTCTTTCCCCCCATGTAATATTTTTGTTACATAATTTTCTTAGGATTTTGCTTATAGTATCTCCATGGAGTTGATTAACAAGTATAGAATTTTAAGGTAAAGAAATGATCTTAGTTTATTTCATAAGCTTATTGCATTTCCTAGCAGAGGAACTTGAGGCTCATTGGCTTTTCCAGATATAAAGCTAATTTTAGTCAGAGGCAGGATTAGAATTGAGCCCAAAATCTCATGGTGCTGCAGTTGAAAAAGTATCATATCCTGAAGTTTTTTCAGTACATAGAAATGATAATGTAAAGTAAAATTAGAAGAAAAGTTTGCTCTTTCTTCTGGATTGTATGGATAAATTAGGCTGTCTATATTATAAAAACTTCTTTTGTGGGGGGACATTTCAAACACGTACAAAAGTATGATGAGCTTTGCTATTTGCATCACCTATCTTCAGCATTCAACTCCCAGCCAGACTTTTTGGTATGTGGGTACTATCTCACTCCCTTCTCCATTGTTTTGAAGCAAACTCTAGGCATATTGTTTCAGCCTGAAATATTTCAGTGTGTATCTAAAAAATTAAATACTTCAAAAAATATACTACAGTACATTTATCACTGTTATTAATTTTATAGTGTCACATATTCAGTGTTCATGTTTTTAGAGTTTGTGACATAAATCTGTATTTTTAAAATTATTTGCAGAACGCGACTGATGTTTTTATTAAAATTAGTGATTTTTTTTGGTATTAAATCTGTTTTAATCTATAATTTAGCCTGTGGCTTCTATGTCTTTTTTTAAAAGCTGTGATGTAAAATTAGGGACTGTGATTGTGCCTCAGTGGTAGAGTGCTTGCCTAGCATACGTGAGACCCCGGGTTTGATCCTCGGCACCACATAAAAATAAATGCAAAGGTATTGTGTCCATCTACAACTAAAAAATATTTTAAAAAATAAAATTTTCTGTTCAGTAAACACAACTGAGAAAATAGTCTCAATACAGTTTTTAAGACTCTAGGAGGGCATGTTGATTTTAAACTTTGCATTCTTTGTGATGTCAATCGTCCTTTCAAGGAAAGTTGATGTGGTGTTCTTCAGGATTTCATCAACGTTTTACATGATCACACATGTGAGTTTCCTCCAGCTGGAAGGACAGTACTCCAACTTCTTAAACTTGTTTGATTAACTAGCATTTTCTTTCCTTACAAAAAATATTTTAGAAACTTAGTGGTTTGGGGAATGTACTTTAGATGGTGATTATCTGCAAAAACAGTTTTCCTCATGCTTTTAAAAAATTAGTGTTTACTACTGAAGCCACATTAAATGAATTAATCTCAAAGAATCCTTTTCATAGAGAGTCCTCAATCTATTTTAAGGCTCTAGCTAGCTGATCTTATAGGTTGATTATTTTATAGTTTTGGAAAAATAATAAATTGAAGCATTGATTGGCAAATAATCTAAATTTTTTTCATTTTAGAGAATAAAGCTTTTTTTTTTAAAAACAGGATGAAACAAGCGAAGATGCTAACTGTCTTGCTTTGAGTGGACATGATAAAACAGAAACAAAGGTATATTAATTTAGCCTTTAGAATACATACACAATTAAGAGTACAGAAGATGTGATAGAAATGTCTGTAGAATAATGTATTATATTTTGTGCTAGTTTTTTTTTCCAGTATTGTTTTTAGTAAAGTATTTGTTCCTTTTCAATGTTAATTAATGCCTAAAGCTGAAGGGAATATAGTGGTGAGAGAGACATGCAGGTAGATGTAAGTAATTATATTATTAAAGAAAATTAAAGTAATTGAGGGCCGGGGGCAAAGGGTCAAGAGGAGTAAGGTACTGATTTTGGACCCCAGAGATAGTAAAAGGCTTTATGGAAGAATTTGAAATGGTTCTTGGGTGATGTATAGGATTTGGGGCTGTCTTCCATTAGTAGGCCATCTCAMTATTGGTTTGAGTGTAGTGCAGAGGACTTGTTTTTGACAGAAGATTTTGGCTAGAACCTGGGGTACATGAGACTTTGATGAAATAGGTAGGGTGGAGAGTTTGTTTTTTCCAAACATTAAAGACTTGGAATGTTATTTCTTCAGAAGTTGAAAAATTCTGAAGGCTATTAATGTCATTCCTATTTGTTATAGAAAAATTAGAAAGTTTCCTCCTTTCCCCAAATTCCCATTCAGATTCCCATGATCAATATTTAACAAGTGTTCTTTTGGCATCTTTCTAGATTTTGCATGTGCCCTCATGTAAGCATATACCAATGCCTTTTGCTTTCTAATAATAATTCACTTTGTAAATCAAGAAAACATATTCATGTCATTATGTTACTAAAAATCTACAAAATTATTGTTATGACTGCATGGAAGGCTATTTATTGCCTTATTTTATTCAACTAGTTTCCTGTCATTAGCACTTGTTTCCATTAAAAAAAAAAGTTGAACTTTCTTGCTGTAGCATTGACTAAAACTAAATAAATACTTGCCACCCATTCCCATTTATTTAGGATAAACTAGTGTAAGATTTATTATTATGGCAAATAGTATGTTTTGATTTTAACTCTGAATACACATTGCCAAGTTGTGCCCAGAAAGGCTGTGTGTTCTCCATTGTTAATCTTACATCCTATTTGCCTTTCTCAGATTCTTGGGAGAAAACTGATATTTCATGGTTTTATATTTGCATGCATGTTTTTTAAAAATTTAAGTTTATTTTCATTTATATGTGCACACATGTATTATTTTCTTTTGTGCACTGCTTTGAAAAAGTATCGAATGGTTTGCCTTGCCTTTCAGTAGAATCAGTTCTCATTCAGAGACATATTTTCTACTTTTAATTAAAGGTGTAGAACAATTTAATAATAATGAATTTTTTATTTCTTTATTTTTTTGCATATAGTTAAGAGCTTTCTTTGGGTTTATATTCTGTTAATTATTGCCTGGGCAACATTTCTTAATAGGCCACTGTCTTCAATTATTGCTTGCTTAAAATTGTCCGGGTTGGAGCTATTTGAAGTCAGGAGATACTTTAACCATGCCTCAGAAGATTTAAGTAGGCAAATAGAAATTTATGAACATTTGAAATGGTGAAATAACCTATAACAAGACTTAATAAATGATTTTATAATATAGTCACATCTCTCTCTTGATCCCTCCTGTTTTCCAGTTTGTCTTCTTTATTAGCCACCAAACCCAGTTATGTTCTTTTATTCTTTGTTAAGTCTCTTTTCCCCCCTCCCCATCCTCTTTGTCTCACAGGAACAACTTGATACAGAGACAAGTACAACTCAATCAGAAACTATTCAGACAGCGTCTTCTCTGTTGGCCTCTCAGGTACTAAGTACAACAAGCAAGGAGAATTTTGTTCATGTTCTTAAGATTAGTTGGTTTATTGAATTAAAGTGGGCATTCATATTAGACTATTAAAATTATCTTTGTGAAAATAATTGCTTGCAAGCCTATGGGTGTGTTTATTGTAGTTTAAAGACAGGGCACTGGATGTGATGGAACAGAGCTTTTGTGCTGCCAGAATAACTAGCTGGGCACAGTGGCATCACCTGTAGTCCTAGCTTCTCAGGAGACTGAGGTGGGAGAATGGCTTGAGCCCTCAGGTTGAGACCAGCCTGGGCAACAGAGCAAGAGGTAGATCCCATCTCATTTGGGTGGGGGTAGGGGGGAGATACTATAGCTCTGTCTCTTATAAATCACTTGAATCCTCACTGGTCATATTCATAGGTTTGTGTAAAGGTCAAAGAGTGAAATTTAAGCCAGAAAAGAACTAAAAAACAAATTTTTTTCTAAGACTAATAATTTTAAAACTTGTTTCTGTGTTCAGTACTGATTTTCAATTACTTGATATTTAATCTGTATTTCTTTAGAATTATTTTTTCAATTTTACCATTAATTTTCCTTGTGACTGTTCCTTACGTACGTAGGCATCTGGGGTCTTTTTTCATTGATTTGCAAACCTTCGTTTTGCTTGGGAAATAACTATTCTCTTGAATTCCTTGAAATTGAATCAATCCCAGATAGGTCAAACTTTGACACAAAGTTAATATTTCTTTAAGTAGATAACTAAACTGAATAACTTCTACAAGGTAACAGGACAGCTGCTGCCAAGAGATGTTGCTGTACTGATACATGATGATGCTTTGTTCTGTGGTTCAGTTGTTTTAATGTGATCATTTAAAAATGTACTTTTATAGGATGTTAATTTCCAGAGTCTTTAAAGACACATATACTACATATTATGTTTAGTTTTGAAATTTTATTGTTATCTAAAAACTTTTGGGAGAGGTAAATAAAAACAACCTGAGAAGGTATACTTAATATTGTTTATCAAGCTTGTTTATCAAGCTCAAACTATACATTGATTGTGATTACATGCCTTTTGGTTTGCTGTGATACTTTCTCTGGAAATATTTTCATAGTTTGTCTTATTGAGTTCATTTCTATAGAATTAGGAGCCATTTTAAAGTATTATTCTGAGTAGAATTTTTTTTCTAGTGAAAAATTTTTAAAGCCAATAAAAGAAAAAGCACTTAGAAAACAAATGATGTTGACTTTAAAATAAAGAAACACATTCTTCTATTTTTTGCTATTAGGGATATACTTATTTCTGGTGAGGTGGTGATATCTAACTAATGAGTCTTTTTATTCTTTTGAGGTAAATCTTGAAATATTTACAGATAGGATTTCTAAGATTTGCTTCAGAATAATTTAGGGACTAACAGTGGGAGGATGGTAGATTGGCTTTCTTTGACACTGGATAAGCTGGATAATGAATACATCAGGGTTCATTATGTAGTGCTCTCTACTTTTGTGTATGTTTTAGAATTTTTCAGAATAAAACATCTAATAATTGGTCTATTCTCAAATGTTAAAGGCTTGTGATTTAATCTGTTTAAAGTAATAAGAAAGACTTATAAAATTTCAGATAAAGTTTTGCTCATTTGTATGCATTTCATTTTTTAATGTACAGTGTCAGAAAATAGTTTATGGACGAATGCTGGCTTCTGTGTGTAAGGTGAACTTTAAGTATTCTCCCACATGGGGGTGCTCCAGCACCAGTTAATATTACTGCTATGGGTGTTACAAGTAAATGCAGTCTAACATTACCTTATAATTATATAGTAGGTGATTTTTTAGAGGAATATGCTTTTAAGAGTTTCATTTGAAATTTACTTGAGTTTCCTATGTATCGATAAAAATTTTTTAAAAAAATAGTCTTATTTGAAAATTCCTGAGGATAGAATAATGTGATAATAATAGTTGTGTTTATTTGTATTGCATTTTGACAGCACTTCTGAGCATTACATTTTTAATACTTTCTTATGATAAGGTTCCATCATTTCTTAGGAAGTAAAGCAGTGGAAAGTACATCTCATTGCTAAATTGTAGTACATTGAACGATGATGTGTTCTTTGCTTTCATTCTCAGAAAACATCAAGTACAGACCTTTCTGATATCCCACTTTGCAAGTCCTGTTCCTGTTATCAAGAATTCAATAAAACTGAGATTGAATCGGTAAAAACAACCTCAGGGGTCCATAAACAATATCTGCCAACTCAACCTGTTGTCTTCAAATGCTAAAAAAGGAGCATGGAGGGTACAAGACTAGACATGACTGAAAATGGATTTAGGTTTTTTGGGTGAACTCCCTTACTGGGCTAATCAGCACTTGATCCGAAGTCCAGGTTAGTATGTGAAGCCAGGAGTACTATTATTATTGTGTTAGCAACAGTTGCATTAACTATTTCCAAAAAAATTACTGCCTTTAAATAAGAAAAGAAAAAAAAAGAAGAAGAAAACAAAAAACAAACAAAAAAAAACACCTCAAGCTATATTTGTATTCATAATTGACATCTGGATTGGGTTTATGTTTGATGCATTGTTTGGAAATTTTGCAATACAAACTGGCATAATTCCTTATTCTGATGATGCACTTTTATGTATTTTTTATTAGAAAGTAGAACTAATTTTAGATTTTTCAGCTTGATGGATTTTCGTTTTTTCCTGAAGAATTTCCTTTAACATTTATCTTCACATTGGATACCATTGTGCAGTGGTGTATCATCATACTTCAGAGAAAGAACAGGAGGACATCCAGTTCAGTCCCTGTGAGGTAGCTGTGACCYTAACAATGAAATGTCAACTCTAGGGCATACATTTGACATTGAAAGAATAATGAGGAAATACTTGGTTTTGATGGGGTTATGATTAAGAAATGATATATTGGTTTTATTTATAGAATTGTTTTATAGTGCATACAAATCAGCGATCAGCCAATAAATACATTTCTTTGAGCTTACTCTGAAGCTCTGTATTCTTTTGCCTTCAATCTGTTGTCTTCAAAACAAATTTAAAAAGCTTTTTAAGCCTTCCCTCTTTTCTATTTTTCCTTTTGCTTGTATGCACAAAGTAGGGCTTAATTCACAAAAACCAAAATGCCAGTATTTTCTTAAGCCATGACGTGAAACCAGTGACCCTGTGGCTACATGGCACAGAACACTAAATTTTGGTCCCATGGCTAAAACTTTAGGTTGACTAAAAGTAACGCCTGTGAAACATGATATCTATCTTGGATGGCTGTTCGATCTCTAAGAGGAATTTTGTACACTCCACAGAACTCTCCTGTTCCTGTCTATAGTAAATTGATTTTCAATTTTAAACATGTGGACAAAAAGGCATTTTCTTCAAGATTTTTAACTGATTATTTTTAACTGGTTTATCAAAATTTATCAGTAAATTTTACATACAGAAACATTTTGAAAATCATTTCTAGCAAGCACTTGACATCTAGTCAGTCAGCCCTGTACTCCTTTTTTATTTTGATTTATTCTATCAAAAGATTAGAAATTTCCTTTAAAGAATAGTTTCTCATAATTGAGCAGCAGAACATCCATCTTTATGAAGAATGAGGGATGCCGGATGTTGATAAGCTTCTGATTTCTTATCTGGACAGAGCAGTCTAACAGATATTTCTGATGAGCATGTTTCATGAATCCTCCGTCGTGCTCCATCTTATCACATGTGCATTTTTCATGTTAAATCGCAATTACTTAAACTCTTCCCTTGTCCTTCTAAATTAATTTTCCAAAGTTGGAGTGTAGTCTTTGCCCTTAGGCTATGCATTAATTGAGGCTTTCTTCTCACCATGACTTTATAATGTCTAGTAGACAACATTTCCACTTCCCACATCTCTGTTCTGCACAGTCACCTGGCCCTTCCTCCCACCACCTAAGGGAAAAAGATGGTCAACTAACAGGTGAAGTGTACAAGGTGTCTGTGTTTTGTGTAGCTTCAGAGTTAGATTGATATTGCCAGGCACAGATTTAGTCTTGTCATTTTGTTTACACATTGGGGGAAAAAAATTCAGTTTATTAAATGTTTCATGTAACTGCATCCAAGTTTTGCCAGGCTGGAAACTTGGACCTTTTCTGTGTAGTGACTTTTTAATTCTAGTTTTCATAACCTGGAGATCAGACTGTTGCTTTCGCATGATATATGTAGTGTCTCATGACTGGAGTTTGCTTTGTTTTATGGTATCTATACACCTTATATTTTTCAAGAGCTATTTTGTAAACAGATGATGTATTTCTCCATTGAAAACACAATAAAATTAAAAAAAAAAAAAAACAGCACAATCCCAAAGTTGGCTGATTTCTTTTGACTCTTTGTTTTTTTATGTCATAATCAGCTATTTGGTGTTTTTTTTTTTTCTTTTTCCATATAATTGATCTTTAGAGGGGAAAGCATGAATGTAGTTACTAATAATTCCCTTTCGGCTGTCCTGTCCTAAAATAGTCACTCTGTAGACACCATACGTCATCTGTGTGTTTATTCTGTGCAGGTGGACAGTGTCCTCTGTGCTGCCTCTTCAGAGCACTTCATCTCTGACGTCAGAAGGTGGCACTGTTGTTTTTTCAGTAAATTTAGAATTWTAGACTACAGCCAGCCAGGATGTGTTTCTTATTTTACTAAGTCCAAATCAGATACTGCTTTTCTCAAACCCCCAATTGCTTGATATTGCAGACATAACTGATGCATCAGGAGGGAGCTGCCCTGTGTTTGTGATGGCCAGCTCTTGGGTATGGTTGTCTTCAGTGTTTTGATTGAAGAGATGGCTCTCTTAATGTAAAATCCATTATTCTAAGGGACACACTGCTGTGTACATTGCATTCTTAAGATTCAGATTTCTAATGCTTTCAATATATGTATGACTGCAGTGTGGGATTATTTTTTATTAAAGTAAAATTCAACTTTTCGGCTTATTCAGCAAGAGGGAAAACATTGTAAAAATTATCTTTGCCTCCATTTTGACACTTCTAGAACTAAGCTTGCTATACTTCTTTTGCCTTGATAGAACTAACCATGGGACTGAATGTTATTCTTTCTGAATTTTGTCAGCTTTACTGCCTTTTTGTATTTCATGCATCTTGTTGAATTAGTAAAATGACTATTGAAAGTTGTGTGTTTTGTGACTCTGGGTAAAACTCTGGAATAGTTTTTATTTTTCTAATTAACACTTCTTTTTTTCTGTACATAAAAAAATGTTTTAAAACTCAGTGTAATATTAATTCCAGCAGCATTCAAGATAGCAATACATGATCAGCAGTTCCTTGTAGTATTTGATATATGAATTAATATACACAAATTTGTAGACCAAGCCTTGGAAATAGCATTAGTGCACTTTGAAGCATTTAAGTAGGAAGATAAACTGTTTTCTAGAAAGGCGTTGAATAATCCTTTGGATCTTTTGCCCATTTTAAGTCTAATAAAAAATGAAGAATAAGGAAAATTAGTTTAAGGAAAATTAGTTAACTTTTAGCCTGAATTGTATGTTTTGTTTTGTTTTTTAGTTCTCCACATTATTCCTCTTCTGTTAGCTTTTCTTCAAGCCAAAAATCACAAATGGATGCTGAACTTGGTAAATGAAGTATTACGTACGTTCTGTAATAAACATGACCTTCTGTTACCGGAGAGAAGTGGACTGTTTAATTCTGTGTTTCTAATGTTTGTAAGATCAATTCATCCTTTCTCTATTTTTACCCATTTAAAAATTTTTGTTACATTCCATATAGCTTTATTGGCACCAGGTAAGAAAGGTGGCATAAATATTTCTGACCCATGTGTTTCAGAAATGACTGTACTTCATTCTAGAAGTGATTTCACATACTTGGGAAATCATTTCTGCCTCTGCTTTTCTTCCTCAGAGACATGCTTTTGTCTCAGTATTCTGGGAATGTCCTAGCAGCTGAGGAAACCATAAAAGTATTTTGTTGAAAGGCATGGAATTTTAAAGTTCTTTTTTTCTTTACTCATCCCCTCCCAATTCACACATCTTTGTTGAAAAGGTAGAATTAAGGCCACGCTCAAGTTTACAGTTAAGAAATTCACAGATGGGTGGAAGGTCATCACTGTAATTATTACCCTTTTTTCTCTGATTATCCTTCCTTACACTTCATATTTTTATGTAGCTAAAAATCATATGTACAAAGGATACAGTATTTATGGAGCTTAACCATCTACCATTTAAAACATTAACTTTCAAAATACTCATTTTTAATGTAAATACGGCTTTATTTATCACTTTCCCTCTGATTTGGGTGTCTGAATCCCATCTCACCAGTAGGATGAGAAATGTATTCAAATAAAGACAAGTACAGTGTGTGTGTGTGCTTTAATCAAAACACTGGGGGGGGGTGTTGTTTTTGTGGGTTTTTTTTTTTTAACGATTTATTTATTTATTTATTTATATTTAGTTTTCGGCGGACACAACATCTTTGTATGTGGTGCTGAGGATCAAACCCGGTCCGAATGCATGCCAGGCGAGCGCGCTACCGCTTGAGCCACATCCCCAGCCCGGGGTTTTTTTATTTGTTTTTTTTGTTTGTTTGTTTGTTTGTTTGTTTTTTAAGAATTCAACCTTTATTTCATTTATTTATTTTATGTGGTTCTGAGGACTGAACCCAGGGCCTCACCAGTGCTGTGCAAGCGCTCTACCACTGAGACACAATCCCAGCCCCCAAAACATTGTATATACTGAACAATGCTCTGTGCAACCTAGCCTAATGTCTTGTGTGTTTTATTTTTTAGTGGTGAGAATGGATTATGCTAAACCCTGCACGCACTTCACTGGTCCCAAAGTTGGCTAGGGAAATCCCAAGGTTGTGCTGGTTTCATTTATCGTCATGGAATGGACAGTGTGTCTAGCAGCCAGAGCTTGCCACTACCACAACAACCGTCCTAGCARTGGGCCTTTCCTCCTGAACACAGGTATCCCAGTCCACACAGCCTCAGCAAATTGCAATTGTGGAACAGTGTATTTTCAGCATATCAGAGGCCTCAGCACATGTTTTATTTATAGTCATGGAGCAATACATTGAATCCAGTTCACCCAGGTTCAATGAGCTATATCCCAGCCCTTTTATTTATTTAGTTGTAGATGGACCCAATATTTATGTGATGCTGAGGGTCAAACCCAGTGCCTCACATGTGCCAGGCAAGCGTTCTACTAGACATTGAGCCATAACCCCAGCTCCCCCTTTTTATTGAGACAGGGCCCCCCTAAATTGCTGAAGCTGACTTTGAACTTGGCAATCCTCCTGCCTCAGACCCCCAAGTTTTTGGGATTACACACACATACCACCCTACCCTGCTTAATGTACCCTTGATACATGTCTCTTTTTAAGATAATAGGTTGAAATACAAAAGCAATACAGGGAAAGTATTATGGATAAATCCTGACTTTATGTAACCAACAGTAAAAGTGATGAAGTCTAACCTAGGCCAAGTACTATTCCTCCCAATACTTTGAACTTTCCATAATATGCCTGGTTTTAATTTAGCATGGATGGGTTTTGGTTCATATTGTGTGATTATGACCTGATTTTATATAAATCAGTCTCTTAAAAATATTTCACAAGCCTTTAGAAACATTTCCTTTAATTAATTTATAAGACGTTATTTTTGATCCAACAGATTTCTTGCTGAAAATATGTATCTTGAATAATTCAAACATTTCAATTTTTTGGGTTTCTTAACACTCATTACATTTATCTCAGTCTTGTGTGTTTTCTAATAATGTCATGTAGTCCTAAAATAGTTAAAGCTTGAAATTTTTGGAAGGAGTCTAATACAATTTTTGTAAAATTGTAAGTACAGAATAACAAAAGTTATTTCCAGAGAGTAAAGTGATCTCTGCCACTGCTGTGCCCCTCTGACATCTCCATATTCAAAAGGGTGGGCATTTGGGTTCTCCAATTTTAGGCATAAAGAAGTAGGTATATGTATTTTAACATAATAATGTAAAATGTCCCAACTGTGTGCTTACTCCGTGTGGATGCTGTCTGTCTCTTGGCACAACACCCTCCTCACAAACTTTCACACTGTGTAGTGCCTGGTGCTGTGTGATTTCCAGAAATCTGGCATGAGAATTGGTCCTTGTTTGCGTTTTGTGACTGCAGTGGAGCTGTTAATAAAGAGATTGATGATAAAGTTGTCGAGAAGAGACAGTTGGGCAGAACTACTCCCCGTGAGTGACAGAGGGCATGATCTGCCTTCACAGCCAAGAAAGCCGCCCCCAGCCGAGAACCGGCCGTGCCGGGACACTGTGCCAAGACTATTAGAAGCTTCACTGCACTATTAGATGACTACATCTCCCTTTAATTTGAGCTCGCTTCAAATTCTCATTTTTATCCTAAGTTCACGAGATGCTCAGAACAAATATATTTGCAAATATGACACACGCTTCCCAACTGTAAAATAATTACTTTTGCAAATTCTTATAAGCACTCATAATTCGTCCTAATTTGGCTTAGTAAAGTTAAAAGTTTTATTTTGAAAATATGACTACAGTTTTTGTAGAGAGCCAACATTTATTTTAGACAGCAGCTGCCTTAAAACCTTAAGGAGTCAAATCTGCCAGGCTGGAGAGTAGGTGTTGGCTACAGCAAGCCCTGGCTGTGGACCGTGCAATACCCTGGGGCACTCGGGACTGACTGCTGCAGGGAGGGTGTGCACTCTGAGGCCTGGCACTGGTCCTCCAAGCTCTCCAGAGGAAGGTGTCCTTGGCACAGGAGCATTTCCTCAGCCACGCCTTTCCAGAATTGGCTTTCAAAATGGGATGTTCTCACCACAGACTACAAACCATAATATCTACCCATTTGGGACAGGTGGAAGGAAGGTGAGTCGGCAAGGATGCCCCCGTTTTTAAAGCTCCATTTTGACTTTGTATTTTTGTGAAGCACTTTGGACTTGGCTGATGATACCTCAAAAGGTTAGAAACACGAAAGTGTAAAAATCTTATTTCATCTCACAAGGGTTTTAAATGGCTTAAAATTTTGAACTACCGATATAGAAGGTTTTAGAAGGGTAATGCAGCTGAAATGGAGGGGTGGTAAGTTGAGGCCAAAATCTTAGAGAAAGGAACATGTTTATTCATCAGATGTTTTCAGGTTCTGTCTGCCTGGACACTTCTAGTGGCTGACATGGGGGAAGTTAGATTACAATGAAAGTTAATTCTTTTTGGTTGTTATTCCCCTCTTCCTTTGTGTACTGGGAGTGTAGCCCAGGGGTGCTCTACTACTGAGCTACATCTTCAGCTCTTTTTTTTTTTTT